TCAAGAAACACTGCACCAAAGTTAGAATTTTACTTCAAGTACTCTACTTCTTCTTCTTTTTCTTTTTCTTTTTTTTTTACATATATCCAGCAGATTTTGTTTTTTTTTGCCCTTCAATGTTTCTAATTCCAAACTTTGCAATAACTATAACACCAGAATTCAATCAGGAAAATTCTTTCTCGCACATATCTATCCCATATTCTCTCCATTATAAATATTGTGTATCACTTTTTTTAATAATATATCTCATTTTGTTTTATTTATTAAAATATTTTTTCTCTCCTTGTATTTTTTATTGCTCTGTTATTTTTTTCACTTACTATCATACATAATCAATTGTTGTACCTATATTGCACCAACGTTCATTCTTCTTCCTAATCGATTGTTCATTTGTTAGTCGTCATCACCATGAAACTTTGGGGTTAACAAGTGAGTTAACAAAATTGAAAATCAAGTGTAACTTTTATAATTTCATTGATCAGAAGGAGATGGTGTTTCTTATTAAGATTAAAAAAAATTATTTTTCTGTTTCTCTTCTCTTTTAATGTATTTTTGTTTATGTTTTTCATGTTTAGCTCGCTAAATCCCTCTTTATGTTGACTAGGTGAATTTCAATTCTGGGTATGTATTTGAGCGGTTGATTGATGAGATTTGATTTCTTAATCTTTGTATTTATGTTCTCCATCATCTCTCTAAATAAATTAGAATAAACATCTTATATTTGGAAACTTTAGTTTTGGAAAATATGTAAAATTATAAAAAGGTGGTAGTTGAACTTATAATTTGCCTTAGAGTTTGAGCTTGACAAGAGCATGAAAAACAAATGAACATAGTTAATGCCGAGGTTAGTGAATTCTTCTAATCTATTCTGTCTGGTTCTCAAACAAATCAAACCTCATCCAAACAGTTTTTTCGGAGTATGGAGGATCTACTTGTACATGGTGTGTTAGTTGCCAACGTTACCATATTTTGAGTGCGTATGTGTTCTCTGTGTTGTCCTTTTCATGGAGTTAATGGTTGCAAAAACTAGTGCTTCAGATTTGACGTGAACCATATGATACATAGATAGGTAGATATTCATATTTGAAAGTTATAAATACATACGAAAAATAAATATTTCATTTCATTGTTTACGTAAATGATTCGTACATCTTGTATTTTATTATAAATTTATATTTCTTTCACATATATATATATATATATATATATATATATATATATATATATATATATATATATGTATGTATTGGAGATAAGATGTTTTGTAGTATATTACTTATGTGTTACTATGTTTAATTTAGAAATACATGTACCAAAGACAAATTTAAATTGAAATACATGGTAAAAACATTTTTTTGTTGTTTAAAAAAACAATTAACCTATCTAATTGAAGTGGGTATTTTTAGTGGTGATCCAAACGAGCAAATTTGATTGTTATTATGAAAGAAGCAGAAAGTTTGTGAAAACTGATACAGGTGTCGAATGATATATGATATCAGCAGATGTAGTACTTATAATTAACAAAAACAAAGCATCATGAAAAGGCAATCTGTGAAGGATCACAAAGGGTAAAATAAAACATATATTCTCTCCTAAAGCTTTATTCTGTCAACGCCACTCATTTGAATATAACTAAGTAGAAGTGATGATTAATAATGAATAAGCTAAAGCACTTTGTCTTTGGTTTTGGTCCACTAAGATAGCCTCCAACACCAGATCATTTCTGATACATTGAATGCAGACATGTTTTCAGCAGAACTCTATATTTGAATAGAGAGAAGGAGGAAGTGAATGACATGGAAGCATATATATAGTAATGTTGTTTAAGGATTTACACACTCATTAGTGGGTTTTAACTAGGAAACTATGTCCTTAACAAGTAAATTAAATCACTGCTTTATTTATCTTAAAATTAGGTCAGACAAACATGTACAGTTCCAAAGCTTAAAAAATAAGACCTACCGAATATTCTTGGGTTTGAAATAAAAGTTATGCAATTAGTATAAGTGAGTGTTTAATTTAGTTCATTAAAATATATAATCACTCTAAATTTTTTTTTATTATGTTACAAAAGTATTATCGTTATTTTATTTTTATTTTTTTAATTTCACACTATATAAGAAATTTGAAGGCATATTAAGGTCATGTATTTGTACCTTATAAATATGAATAGAGAAAATTATCCATGACCTAGTTATGATTATTCTTTTCACGGTTTTATTATTAATAATCTTCATAGTTGATTTTAAAATGTTTAAAAGATAATAATATTATTCTGATAAAATTTAATTATTTTAGATGTCTTAATCATCTTTAAGGATTGTTATAAATTAATGTGTTTTGTTTAAATCACCTAGTAAATATCAATGAATTATTACTCTAAATTAACTAGAGGAATAATTTAAAATATGTACGCAACATCCTTCTACGAAATATCTTATTTGTTAAGTTAAAAAAAACAAAAATATCTATACTTCCCTTGCTTCAAAGATAAATGTATTGATTTCATTTTTTATTTACACTATATCAGACACATAATTGAAAAATGTTAACGCATATTACTTTAAGGAAAAATTATCGAGTGTAAAATAAATAAATAAGGTTATAGCGTTAAGTTTAAATAGGTAAAAAAAATGAAGTTTAAATTTAATTTTATAAATAAGATAATATATGTTTGTTCTTTTAAATAGGTCATGTTTACTTTTAATTCCTAAAAAATATTTTATTCTTTATTTATAAAATATGAGACAATTGATATTACATTTTATAAATGATAGATAAGAGGGTTTTTTTTTTAATAACAAATAATTGCATTTAAAAAAAATTAATAAACCAAAATGAAACGAATTATTTTTATTGAATAACCAAAAGAAAATGTTATATATATATATATATATATATATATATATATATATATATATATATATATATATATTAGTAAATCAAGGGTTAAGTCTCAAGTTATATAAGAATAAAAAAATTGAATAATATATAAAAAATAAATACCATAATTTAATGTCTGAACAGGTATTTTGGATCATGTTTTATTTGTATGGTTTCTCTTCAATTAATCTTCTCAAATTACCCCATATATATATATATATATATATATATATATATATATATATATATATATATATATATATATATATATATAACTCTTGAATTGAAATGGAAAAATAGATAGAACTTCAGTTACTTCGAAATGGTAAGATCTTTGGCGCAAGAACGCAAGAGGAGGGGTTGATCCGTATCATCTTGACTTGGTTCTGATTTCTCTATTTTTTAAGAAAATCGAGTCGGGTTCTTCTCCTACCCGTATCGAATAGAACATGCTTAGCCAAATCTTCTTCATGGAAAACCTGCTTTATTTAGATCGGGAAAATCATATGGTTTTATGAAATCATGTGCTATTGCTCGAATCCGTGGTCAATCCTATTTCCGATAGGAGCAGTTTACAATTCAATACAATTTTTCCCCGTAATAGTGTGAAAAGAAAGCCTAACTCCAAGAAGTTGTTTAAGAATAGTGGCGTTGAGTTTCTTGACCCTTTGCCTTAGGATTAGTCAGTTCTATTTCTCGATGGAGGCAAGGGAAGGGATATAACTCAGCGGTAGAGTGTCACCTTGACGTGGTGGAAGTTATCAGTTCGAGCCTGATTATCCCTAAACCCAATGTAAGTTTTTCTATTTGGATGCCGTGATCGAATAAGAATTGATCGAATAAGAATTGAGAATGGATAAGAGGCTCGTGGGATTGCACGAAGGGCGGGGGCTATATTTCTGGGAGCGAACTCCAGTCGAATATGAATCGCCTGGATACAAGTTATGCCTTGGAATGAAAGATAATTCCGAATCAGCTTTGTCTACGAACAAGGAAGCTATAAGTAATGCAACTAGGAATCTCATGGAGAGTTCGATCCTGGCTCAGGATGAACGCTGGCGGCATGCCTTACACATGCAATATATATATATATATATATATATATATATATATATATATATATATATATATATATATATATATATATATATATATATCGCAAATAAAAAATATTAAAATATAAACAGAATAAAATAAAATAAAAGTTATAACGTAAAGTTTGAAAATAATTTTAAATAATAAAAAAGTTATTAATCGCATGTCTTTATCTCTGTATACCACTAACTTAAGTGGATAAATAAAAGAATCGTAAGTGACTCCCAAAAATATACTAGTATAATTTTATATCCTTTTTAAACACATTATAGTTACTCAAAGGGAAAAAAAAAAAACACAGAAAAAAAATGGTTGTTGAAATTAGAGTTCTGAAACAATTGGTTACATGTTTGAATACTTGGAAGATGTTAGAATGCTGATGTAGGTGCTTCTAATTACTTTAAAGACAAGATAATTGAAACATTAAAATTCGACAATATACATATTTTACTTTAACTATGTATTATTGCATTTTAATTTATTTTGTTTCTTATGAAAAGGAAAAGACTTGAAATTTGAAAAGATATATATATTTAGTTTTTATAAATGAGAAATATTTAAAATTTTAAAATCATTTTTACCAATTTAGTTTTTATGAAAAAGAAAAAAAAATTGAAAGACACTAATTTTGTACGAAAGTGAAAGAATTGAAAATGGGGATATATTTTTAATAATTTAAAATATATTTTATATTTTTATGGAAGTTGAATAAAAGTTTTGAGTAACTCTAAGATGTATTAACGAGATACGAGAAGAGATTAATTTATAGTTCAAAAATATAAAACTCGAATAAATCTTGGTTTAAGAAAAACGATAGTGTTGAAGATAGTATCCACCATTTATAGTTATGTGAATAAAAGATGAATGAACATTAAAAATGAATGGTCAAATTTGTTAGCTAACATATTATTAAGTTTAGAAATATTTGTGATGAAATTAATATATAACTAACAAATGTTTGACAATTTGCTCCAGATAATAAAAAAAAAACAATTACTCGACAGAAAACCTATTGTTGTTGGTTATACAGAAACCATTTTAGTGCCAAGACAGGCATCTACTGCTTCTCCCACAGAAAGGAAAACCCTTCCTCCAATTTTGGTGACGAAGTTAGATAATCTTAGCTTGTGAATTACATGCCACCTAGGGTTAGCGATAGCTAACTGAAACAAAGTGATAGAGGGAATATTAATGCATTTTATATACCAATCTGCATCAGAACAAATGAATTATAATAAGAAACTGACCTTTACTCCACGTGAAGTCAGATTTTTATTCAGCTCCACCAGAGAAGCAATTCCCGCGGTGTCAATATTCGTTAGACCTACCACGTTGTTATCCTCATTATATTAGGGCCATGTTAAATTTGATGCAAGATCAGAGGTTAATTACTCACTTGAGGCATCAATGATGACGTGATGGAAGGTTCTTTCTCCTCCTTTCCCATGCTTAGCTTTTTCATTGGTCACCCATCGCTCAATCCTTTCAATTTAGTTAATGTGGACTCAAATTATCATTAAAGTTCAAAAAAGATAGAACAAGCAAAGGGTGGTGCCATGAACAACAGAAACGCACCTTTCCTCCACCAGATTTGAATTTGCAAAACAAAGCCATGCAGATTTTAGAGACACGATGAACACTCCAGGAATGTTGAGTGCCATTGGATACTGTTGAACATCGCCGAATGAATCGGTTCCTGGAAGCCTTCCAATAACCGCAATAGCAGGTTGAATTGAGGTTAGAATTATCTTCGCGAATGATATCGTGATCTGCACTACAATTTATGTACTCACATCAACCAATAACGTAACAAGGAAATCATTTAGTTTAAATTTTCACATCAGACACTCATTTTTTAAGAGTTCAGGTAAATAAACATACCATTAATACTTGAATTATAATTTTTTCTTCTCTAATTTTATAATTTTAAGAGTGGAACATAAAATAGTTCAACTATTTTCACTTAAACAAACATCTTTCTCCCTGTCTGCCATGGTAATGTTGCCACCAACTAATTGTAGTAACCGTATTATTGATGTCACATTTTTCTTATCTAGCCTGAAATTTCATAGGAAAAAAAATCTTCATTCATTTTCTAAAGTTCTAAAATCAATAATAAACTCATGAAATTAACAAATGATGATGACCAAAATTCATAGAGAAAAATTGTCGCTAAAGAATATTCACATTACAATGACTTAAAATTTAATTTATTTAAACTTTATAGAGATGAAGAATTTATTGTTTTAAAAAATTAGTATTTTTGTTTGTGTGGTGTATGTGATAAATGTTTATTTTATAGAATTAAAACTAATTATATATAAATAAATATTTTTAGACATAAATTATAACAAATTTATAATAGATATTTTTAACATATAAACTATGCTACTTCTGATCCTATATACATTTAAAAAAAAATATATATATATATATATATATATATATATATATATATATATGCTTGAACTATGTGCTAATTATAAAAAATGATTTTTTTTTTAACTTTATTGTTAAATTTTTTATACCTTTAATTTAAAGTCTATACAATAATAAATGTATCCACACGCATTTAATATTTTGTAAAATAAATTTATTTTAATTAAAATAACCATTATTAGTATTATGAGGGATTGTAGTTCCTCTCAACATTTTGTAACTTTAATATAATTTTTAATTTTGACCTCAAAATTTAATAATTATTTAATATATTTATTTATATATTTATAATTTTATATTTTTAGTCTCCAATTTTTCTTATAAATCTTATAATTTTAGTCTATCAAATTTAATAATTATTTAATATATTTATTTATATATTTATAATTTTATTCTTTTATTTTTAATTTATTTTTAAATTTTTTATATTTATTTATTATATATTATTTGACTTCAAAATCAACAGTAAAAATCTTCAACTACTTAGATATTAGATATGGTAAATTTAAAAAGAGACTTCTTAACAATCATAATTAAAAGAGTATATTAACTAAATTATGTATTGGATTTATGATATAAAAGTGTATTAAAAGAAAGGATTTTACAGTTTAAAAAAATAAAACCTACAAGTCATAATTCAAAAGATAACGAGTACCAATAAATAAACAAAATGTGATCGTTTAAAACTGATAGTTCTCATTCCAGATAGAGGTAAAATAATTTAAGTTTGGACTTCATCTTTTAAAATCTAAAACTTTGACTAATTTACAAGAATGAAAAACTCGAGGATGAAAAAAAATATTTTTTAATAATGATAAAAATTTATAAAAAATATTATCATGTCATTTGATAAAAATATAATTTAATTTATTAATATTCTTTTATGGATGGATATCAAATCATATCATAAAAATAATGTACTTAAAAATTAAAAAAAGTTTTAAAATAAACTTTCAAATCATTTTTATTTTATAAAAAAGATAAAAATATTTTTTTTAAAGTAATTTTAAGCAAGATTTAACAATAAAAAAGCTATTGGACTAATTTTGATTCATTGAGTGCTGATTAGACAATATTACATTTTTAAAAATAATGGATAGATTCGATTCAATATATTTTTTTAATAAATAAATTAGATTAAATTATATATAGATAGCTTATATAAATGACGAATAAATGAATTACTTTTTTTACCCTTACTTGGAATAAATCCTCCCTTAACTCTGGATTTATTTATTAATTTTAATTTTAAATAGTCTGGAAGCTTTTAAGTAGGTCAATAAATTAACAAATAGTTTTAAGAAGTTATATAAAGAAGTTTAAATAATAATAATAATAATAACAATAATAATAATAATAATAATAATATCATTATAATATTTAGTAGACATTTTTAAAAACAATACTCTTTTAGCTAAATATAAGTATTTCAAATGTATACTTAATTAACTTTAAAAAACGAATCATGAACAGTTAAATGATAGGATAGATATACTTAATGCTAAAATAAAATTATAGTCTCTTATTTGAATATATTTTATGTTGAGTTTTTTTTTTTTATCATATTAGTGTCCAAGTTGAATCAAATTCTAGTCTTTTATTTCTTTTGTTCTTAAAATTGTATTTAGCCATTTTATTTCTCATTAATTTTATCCTTAAAAATTTTAAACTGTATCTTCTATCTCTTCTTTTAAACATTTTTCAAACTTTTATGTCAGAAAATGTTAAGGGACATCTAGATAACATTTGTTATGGTATATTAAACAATATTATATATATATATATATATATATATATAATATTTTAAAAATTAATCTCTAAAATAATATAATTTATCTTAAAATTTAAGAATTAAATTAGTGAATTTAGATATTAACAAGTTAAGACTAAATAACTTTTTATAAGGATCAAAATAAAATAAAAATATTTATTTGTATAGGTATAAAAGTAATACTGTTAATTTTGAAGAAATTGCTGATATTATTAAATAAAACTTATATCTTGTTTAGTTTTAAAATAAATATTCAATTTTCTTATACTTTTAATAAAATATATTATATTTTTTATATGTTTAATAAAGTAATAAGCACTTGTCTTATTTTATTTACAAGTATTATACGGACTAAAATTTCAATAAATAAAAAAATCTATAAAAATTAAAATTTTCGAAATTAAAGATTTGAAATATTAATTATTTTTTTTTAAATAAAATAAAGAAGATAACTGTCTTTTTTTTTTAAGTATATATATATATATATATATATATATATATATATATATATATATATATATATATATATATATATATAAAAGTAGGAGGCAGTAATATATGCATATGAGCTGCAATCAACTTATCTTTGAACATTTAACTGAAGATAAAGAAAAAATTAAAAGAAAAATATACCCCAATTGCAAGGCCTATTTCTGCAGATGCAAACAAGACTCCCAAGAAGGCTCCAGCACAAGCAAGGAAATCCATTTTATCAACCTTCCAAATTTCACATGCTTTCTTTAGGTCAATCAGTCCTGGCACAGCCGACAGAATTATTGCTGCTAAGATTGCTTTCGGAGTAAAATATAAAAGCCCTGTCAAAAATTTAAGTGACAAGAGCACCGTCAATGCCATCACTATGTTCGACACCATTGTTTCTGACCCAGCATTGTAGTTTACTGCAGTGCGTGACAAAGACCCTGCATCGTTCATTTAAGCTCCTCATCAACAAACTCTGTTCTATGTTCCTTATTTTCAACACCAAAATACAATATAAAATGCCCAATAATGATACCTGATGCAATGTAGCAAGAGGTTAAGGATCCAACAATGTTCATTATGCCCAAGGATACCACTTCTCTGTTGGGATCAATACTGTGTCCTTTTAGAGATGCAAAGGATCGTCCAACAGCAATAGATCCCTGAGATGATACAACAAAATGGTTAGTCTGAAGATTATATTAATAGGAATAAAAATGTTAGTCTGAGTATGGGGTACCCTACCGTGAGTGAAATAATAGCAATGGTGAACCCTATTCTGATCAAATGCCCCACAACTTTGCTATCAAATGTTAACTGATGGAGTGAGCTTGGATTCAAGCTCCCTCCTTTAATTGGTCCCAACACTTCAACTCTGTAGTCCTTCACTTGATGCTCATGAACATTTATTTTGTACGCAATGACAGAGGATACAATAATAGAAAGGAGAGGAGCAACGTGTGATAACCAGATAAGTTTCTTGTTCCTTCTCCCCTGATTGGATATGCAACAATGCTATTAGCTAGTTTTCACTTACTAGTAACATTATTATTTATTATATTGTCCAAACCAGAAAAATAAAATAAAAGTACGTAGCAGCAGTACTAACCAGGAATCTGGTAAATAGGATGAAACAGAGAAATGAGATTCCAATAATGAAATTGTAGGGATGCCACGCTGACTGCAAAAGAAGGAAATAATGAACTTTGAGCTGTAATCAAATTGGATGGTTTGTTTAATGTTCTATGGAACTGTGTTTTCCTTACTTGGTTTTTGAAGGATGTCCAAAGAGATTTGACGACGGAAAATAAAGCAGTTTTGTTGGTGAAGTTAACGATCCCAAGTAATCCTTTCAATTGTTGTAGTCCAATGCCCACGGCTGCTGCTGCCAAGAACCCTACGATCGTGGCTTGGGAGATATATTCCACCAGAAAACCAAACCTGTAAAATCTCCCAGAGGTTGACTCATAATTCCCTATTTCGTTCACATTTTAAGACTATTTTTTCACATTTATAAGCACCTAACATTTATAGTTTTCCATGACATTTATAATTTTACACTATGAATTTCCAAACATAAACGAGACTTGGCATTGACAATATGAAATTGTTGCTTGGAATAAACCACCGTTCTATTACTCTTTTATTCATTTTTCTTGTGCTTTTTATTCACTATAGTTCATTGGAATATTGAGTTTTAAGTGCCAAAATTCATAATCAATCCATAACATTAAATAATTGCACATTCAACTGTATGGTAAAATTCCATTCCATTATATCGTGCTCTAGATTTTAAAAAATAAATATGTGAATTTATTTTTATTTGACACTTTTATAAATTATTAAAATAATTTAAATTTTTATCTCAAATTTTATGTTTCCTAAATTTCAGTTTTTCAAAAATATTTTTAATATTGATTTTGTTACGAAATATCACTGATTTATATCATTAAATTATTTATTTATTTTAAAAATATATTATTTTTCCTAAAATTAAGTCACATACTGTTGTTTAAAATTAATTATACATATTTTATAATAAATTAAAAATATTTTAAAGTTTTACTATTTTGATTAATATTTTAAATTTATTCAAATTAAAAAAAATACATTTGGAAAATAGCCAAAATACTTGTTAAATATTATTCTTTTATGTATTCATAATTTTAAACGATTTTGGTAAGAATGGTGCTCCACTTAATTGTCATATTACATTAGTGGCTGACCATGGAGCACTAGGTAGCTAGAGGCTGTCACAATACATTCCATACACAAACCATTTATATGCATGTCCATATCAAAACCTTTTGACTTTGTAATTACTTAGTTTAATCAGAAATAATTAATTAAGAACACGTCATGAGGATATATAGCATAGGACACTGACCTAAAGAGGCCGAAAGCAACTTGAAAGATGCCCGCAAAAAAAGTTACAGTGAAAACAAGCTGAGTGTATGTGATAGAATCATGAATTGGAAACTTCAATGTCTGAATCATTGAGGAAAGTAGCAGTGAATCTACAGATCCTGGTCCAATCACTATCTCCCTTGAACTCGCTAGCAAAGCATAAATAAGAGGTGGCACAATTCCTGTGTCTGTGAAAACCAATCATCATCCACTCTTTAGATATATAATGCACTGTAATATCACTCTCACCTTAATTAAGGACATTAATTTTACTATCAAATAAAAAGAATCACTGTTTATGCAACTTACAGAGGCCATATTCTGGACTTAGCTGCGCCAATGTTGCATTTCCCATACACTACAACACCAATTAAAGTCATCAATGCTTGAATCATCCTTAATATGCTCTTTTTCATTTTTTGAAATAATGATTTAATTATTAAGCAAGATTTTAAATCATATAAAAGAAAAACTCTGACATTGCAGTCGAAACCAAGTTTTATGAAACAGTCTCCGACTATATTTTTACTGCAATATCAGTTTTTCAAGTGTTGCATGGTGTTACGTTTATCTGCAATTGCCGGTAATATTAAGAAACTGAACAAAATAGCAACTATGACATATGTTTTTTAAAATCTTGGTCAAAATGGCAACTATAAGCTTTTTTTTAAAACCTTGGTATGGAATAAATGAAATTAGTTTGACATGAGCATATACAGTATATTGTGTGTGCATGTGTTGTGAACCTGAGGAATGGCGAAGATTGCGAGGGTTAGACCGGCCATGAAATCGCACTTGAACTTTTGGGCATTGTAGTTTTGGAATGAAGCAAGAATGGGAAACAAGCCCTGCAAGAAGGCAAAAGCGCGTTTGGAAAAGGGTTGGTTCCTGAGAGAAGAGAATGTGTTTGGATGTGGATGCGGTAAGAGGGTGTCCTTGACGTTGTCCACGAGCTGACGCAGCATGGAAGGTGGATCTGGAGGATTGAGCACCCACTGAGCCATATTGTTTTCAATGTCCAAAACCTCTTCTAACGTGCTTTTGTTTGAAGCTACCATCTCTGAATTACCAGAGTTCCTGCACATTTCAGGAACCTAGTGCTGCCAGAGAAGGTGCATCAATTCTTCACTCTTTCTAACTTCTTTAGGGCATATATTCTGCTTATTATATTCATAATTAAAGACAAATTGTTTCCACAAGGGAGCTTCAATTCTTTTCCTTTGTTTAATCCACAAATTGGAGCATATGAACTCTTACTCTTGTGGAATCATATTCGCATGTGAATCTTATTTTTAATTAGAGTATGTCAACTTCATTATTTTATTGAAAAAAATAATAATATTTTTCTTTCCATTCCATTTTATGAAAAGAGTTTACTTTCCATTACATTACTGGTTAACTTCATTTTTTTTATAATATATTAACCAATTAATAATCATTTTAAATGTGCCTTTTAAAATCAATCTCGGGTTATTTCGAATAAAATTAAGCAAAGTTGTGAATTTGAGGTTTATATATGAAAAAAATGTAATCGAGATTTTTTTATATGATTAGTTAAGTAATTAAAATCAAGAATATTGAGCTATACTTCATATTTATAATATTTAAAATTTGTGATTTTAAAAGTAATTATAAAAAAATAACTATATATCCTACTACAGGAAAATTTATTATGAACGAGATTGTAAAACTTCAAACAAATGGCTTATAGAAATTTCTAATATTTAAATATTTTAAATAATAATAAAATTAATATTATTTTGAGAACCTAATTAATTTGAATAGCTTAAAGAAATAAATTGAAATTATAAGTAATTTTAAAATAAAAAAAATATTTTTATAATTAGAAGAAAATGAAAAGCGAATTTTACGCATCTTAAAATGATTTATTTTAATAAACTTGGTTTTCTATTAAATAAACATGATATTATTATAGTTAATAATAAACAATAGTGTGTTATATTTGGTTGTTATATATATATATATATATATATATATATATATATATATATATATATATATATATATATATATATATATGTATTTACAGGCTAGCGGTGTTAACGAGCCAGTTAAAAAGAAGTGAAAAGAATATAAAGAGGAATCGGCGTAAATGAATGTAATTAATATTTTTTAAAGTTTTTGAATTGATATCTGTCTCTCAATTTGATGTTGAGGGCGATTACACATTAAATATATTACATACACGCGCTTACCGCTTCCTAATTAGCATTAATTTTTTAAATGGTTTATGATTAACTTCATTTTAAAATATTTAACCAATTTATGATTAATCAAATGTGGATGATTAGTTAAATAAGCTGTTTAATAATTCACTGTGACCTAACAACAATTAATAAAAGAATCTCGCAGTGAGAAAATGCTACTCATCTTATTAAATTAAAACTTGTTTTCCTTCTCACTCGATGACAAGCCGTTTCTGGTAAAATTAATATTAAATTAATATTAATCTAAGTTACAATTTGTGGAAAGTGAATCTGCCTGCTTAAGCAATTAAGGAGACGCTAGATGTTAAATTCATTCCTAATTATTTATTTTTTCTTTAAATTCAATTATGTTGGTGCTTGATAAAATTAGTTTATAAATTAGGCATAATTAATTAATTAGTTAATTAGAGACTCGATAAGTTAACTTGTGAATATATATTATTTGATCAAAATTGAATGTAAATATTATCACTTTGATGATTTTAATATTTATGGTTTCTATTACTCAAATAAAACCCTCATATTTAAAATTAAGAGGAGAGTGTATTTAACACTCTTAAGCTTTATTCTTTTTTATAAATAGGCATCTTAAATTTTAATGTTGTCTTAATTGATCTTCAAAATTTATCTTATTTATTAATAGACACCTTGAACTTTAATTTTATTTTTTATTTTTGTCAAAAAGAAGGAACAATTAATAAGTTGTTGACACTTATATGTAATCTAAATATATGATATTAGTGGTATATAATAGTATAATGTTTTAAAACTAAAAAATAATATTTTATATTTGTAACAACACTATATACCTTAATTACAATTTAATAATTTTGTATCAAAATTATTTTTGTTATAATTTTGTATTATTTTTTACATTTTTTAATACTTTAATGACTAAAATAAAATATTATTATAGATCCCATTAAAATTTAAATTTAAATATAGTTTTAATAATGTCTCAAAAATATTATATAATAATATGTTGTTTGTGTTACTAAAGTAACTTAAAAGAAATTACATTCTAAGTGTTGTTAATATTTAATTATCTTTTTTTTTTCTATGTGATTAATTTTATTTTATGAATAAGGTGAATTACTTCTTTCTCTTTCCTATTTCTAGCTATTTTGTCTTTTGTGTTTAATTGGGCCTGCTGCAAAAGCCCAACTCTCCATGTAATATACCGTGCCAATTTTTATGTGCTTACAACACCAATACTTCTTTCGTTCTTGGGAAAATGGAACATTCGAAAAAGAAGTGTTTAAGAAAATAAATTTTGAATATCATTAACACTCCGTTCATCTCGTGGAAAAAGTATAAAGTGAAAATAGAAAATGATACATTTTTAATTTAATAACAAAAAAAATATCATTATTTATTATAATAAATATTTTTAATTTTTATATATATTAAAAATGCTAAAATATTATTTTATAAAATTATTTTTACTTATTTATTTGTTATAATTTTGATATATATTTTTAATTATTATTTTAATAAAATATATACATATAAAAATTAAATAAATAATCTAGCATATTTTTTATTTATTATTATATTATTAAAAATGAGATATATGATTAATTTAATTACTTTAAAAATTTATTTTATTAAAACATATTTAAATATATTATTTTAAAAATTATTTTATTAATAAAAATTTAATTCATAATTATATCGTTAATTTTATAATTAAATAAACATTTAATTAAAATTTAATTATTTAATATTTAAATATATATATATATATATATATATATATATATTTTTTCTTTCAAACATTTTTTTTTCTTAAGTTCTTTCCCTTTCAACCTAACAGAGAAAATAGGAGAGATTTTTAATTTAATTGCGTCGCCCACGTGTTTTGCATGGATATGATTTATGTGGCATGTGAATATCGGAATTAAGGTTGGAATTGGAAACTTCCATTATGGGCTCCGCCACCTCAATAATTAATGTTATCAATCTATTTTTTTTAATACTTACTACATATTTTCCATTATTAAATAAATATATATTTTATTTATTTATTTTATAAATCTCACACGTAATTTATTCACAATTTTGTCAGTATTTATTCTCAGAGTAAAAAATATAATTTATCAATCAATTAAATGTTAATATTATTACTTTTAAAACGAGTATTAATTACAGAAATTAAAAAATTTTAAGCAATTAAATATGTAAAAGTTAAAATTATCTACGTACTAAACTATAAAGACCAAAAATAAATTATGTTTTTTTTTCTCATGCAGTTTTGTAAAAAGATTGTATAACTCTTTTCAAAATGTTAACTTATAAATATAAATTTACTGTATTATTTGCGACTTCCTTTTGTTATAAATTAAAAAAAAATGTAAATTTAGTTATGAAATTACTTTTAAATAACGTACCACATGAAATAAAGAGCCATAATCAAAGAACATGTAATTGTGTGGCTTGTATTATTTTTATTTTATATATATATATATATATATATATATATATATATATAAAGAAAAATATCTACATAAAATAAATTGACATTTTAAATTTACTATTACACAATAATCAAGCTATATATATGTGGTTGTTTACATTATTTAAAATTTCAAAAGTCCTGTATGATTTTAAGGCGAATTAAAATTTAGGTTACTGCAAAAGATTTCATCATTATAATAATAATAATAATAATAATAATAATTTATTTATTTTTCTCTAATTTTTTATAAGAAAAATCACATAAAATGAATTTGTTTCGAAATTTGTTGTCAATTCTGTAAAGTAATTCACATTAAAAAACGCAAAATGCTTATATGAAAAATTATAGGAATTCTTTAACACTGTTTAAAAGATTACTTCCGGAAAAACAATTTATAAAACAAAATCAAGTCATTAAAAAATACATTTTAGTAAATCAAATTTATTTATGTGTTATAATAATATTATTAGGGTCATTTATTAAATTAAATTCTAATTTATCATAATTTTATCATTAAAAGATATTGATAGTTTAAAAAAATTATATAAATAATATGTAATATAAAATTCATGAAATATCAAAATATAACCTGTAATGGATTGAAGAATTATAATCTCAGGATCTGAAATATTTCAATAAAAAATAATAAAATGAATCCTACTTGCATTACTAAAAAAAGAGTCAATTATCTCTTTATTCTAGTTTTTTTGTTTATTTATCTTGAGGATTTTAGGTCAATAATAACTATTATGAGATGAGATGAGTATAATAGTTTTAAAATAAATAGGAATACATTTTTTTATAAATGGACATCAAACCATGACCTAATTATATATATTAAATCGAGTGATATCATATATTCAATTCAATAAAATATGATTGGTTCATCAGATTAGTTATAGTTATTTGTAATTTATTTTATTAGTTCCACTCTAATTTAACCATCCTCAATCATGTTGGATTGGTTCACAAAATTTAAAAATAGTTTTTTTATTTAATTTTAAAACATTTTTGTTTAACTTTTTCAAAATAATTTATTTAATATTTGAATAATTTATATATATATATATATATATATATATATGTGTGTGTGTGTGTGTGTGTATAATTAATATAATAATTATATTATATTGTTATTAATATTAATATTATTTATTTTATATTTTTGTCATTAAATTTTGGATTAAATATATAAAATTTATTATTTAATAAAAAAATGAAGTTAAATTGAATTGGATAAATTTTATCATAAATAAAATTCAATTGAAGCAATTCATGATTGGTTGGACACAATATATAATTTAAAAAGGTTGAGAGAATATTTTGGTTGATTATAGGAACATCCCAAGTGTCCCATGCTCAAAATCTTGGCTTTCCGAAGACAAATAATGGTATTTATAGCATGTGATAAATAAAGTTATGTAAGAAATAATAGTCAAAGAATGAATTTGATTGGAATGGCAATATCTTGATTTCATTGAACATAGATCTTCCTATGTCTAATCAACTTAATTTAACCCTCCTTTTTCATGTTTATCAAAAATGAATTAACTTTTAGGTATAGAAAGAAGCAAAACAAGTGAGGTCCAATAACATTCATTAGTGTCTGTCACCGACAAATCTTAAACAAGATCTATCTCTAAAGTCCATCAATCGGTAAACGACAGTACCACGCTAGTTACAATGTTTTCATCTAGTTAATTACCGACAAAAATTAACCTTTTATTTTCTTAATAATAAATATTAATATCTAACCAGATAGAGTTTTGATTTTTGTATTGACAACTTTTAAAGTTTGACTTAATTCGTTTGTTTTTCCTAGGATGTTGGCATACTTTATTAATACCCCTAGCCGTATATTCCTAATACACCTCATTATTACTTATTTTTATCATTATTGTGATTATTATTGCTAATTTGATTATTAATTTGATCGGTAGAATTGGGAAGAAGGAAGTAGGATGCTATAAAATAAATCCAAAAACATCTCTCACTATAACACATCATCCATCAAAGAACTTCATCCCGCAATCAACGGCTGAGATTCCATTTTAGGATTCACACCTCTCGTTTATCTTTCACTCTTTCTTCCCACCTTTCCTTCTCACTCACTCACTCACTCACACACTCACCTCGTGCGTGCGTGCGTGTTGTGTCAACTCTCAACTCAACTCCACTCTCCAAACCCTCTTTCTCTCTTTGTCCCCTCGTAGCAGTGGAAATCATTTCTCTCCATGGCGAACTTTTTCTAACACAAAACAACGCCAGGAGGAGGAGGAGGAGGAAGGGCAACAATAAGAAGATATGCTGCTTGGAAAGCGTCCTCGCCCACCGATTATGAAAAGAACTACCAGCATGAGTGGTGGCATGGCCGTCGAATCGCCAACAACCAACGAGGAACTCGTGTCTGATAACACTCACCATGATCATGAGCCTAACATCAAACCCGATCCACTTTTTGTTGCCATGGGAACACATAATGAATTGGTGCCTGACCTCACAAAAAATGTTTTTGAGGCCAAAGGGTCATCGTATGAAGAATATGGGGAACGTTTGATGGGTATGGGCATGGTCATACCCCTTTCTCCGACAACCTCAAATAACCCTCGTCTCAGTCACAACCATACAACAAACACTAACATAAACACTTCTCACTTTCTTCGCACTTGTGGCCTCTGCAAGTGTCGCTTGGCACCTGGTCGAGACATCTATATGTATAGGTATGTGTATGTATATGCGTATATATTAGCTTTTACTACTTTGCAGACTTTTTAAAATAATGTTTGGTTATGTACAACACTTTAACTCAGTGGGTGTTTTGTGTAAGTGTTGTTTTGATGACAGAATTAGAGAAGTATGTAACTGTAAACATTTATTATACACATAGATTATCAAAGTAAAGTTTCAATTTTGATGGAAGATGCACACTGATTAAAATACTTAGGAAACGGCACGTAATCTCTTATTATTTACAACTGTGTCTCTTTCAGATTCTAGTGATTAATTTTTGTTTGAATTCTACAATATTAATCAATGTTTTGTTCACAGGATGTTGTTAAGTAGTTAGTTTTATGAGTGAATTTGAGAAAATGGTTTGGTTAATTATCTGTGTGTATATTTCAGGGGGGATACGGCATTTTGCAGTTTGGAGTGTAGGGAGAAGCAGATGAAGCAAGATCAGCGAAAGGAAAAGTGTAAGGCAGGGTCTAACAAGGAGCACCACCGTGCATCACCACCTGGCAAGGCTTCTACCAAAAGCGAAACGGCTGCGTGTAATTGAAGGATGCGATTAAATGTCATCACATAATTAAGATTAAATAGTATTATATTTGAAGAGAAAATTAAGACAGAAAAAGGTCAAGCAAGATAGCTAACTGGTGCCTCATCATGTGCACTTACGACAAGCCTATATCCCCATATCTATCTTCTTCTGCTGTACCTCTCATGATGCTACTACATATATGGTGCTTAATTTCACACCTACGATAATGTTCTTATTGACATAGTTCTGCTAGGAAATTGTACAAAAGGTGTGGTACATGTTGCTGTAATTACCTATGTCAATTTTCATCTTTCTATCTAGAATCCCCCTGTGATCGATCACATGCCTTTTCCTTGGTGTGCTTGTTGTATTTAACTCAAACCATTTCAAACAGTACCTAGTTTCTGCATCCTCATCTGCAAATGGAAAGGCAAATACCGTATTAATTATTGCTTATATAATGTTGTCGATTAAAGTATATGTATAATAACCAAATAAAGTGCTTCTGTTTCTATGTAAGCATGTTTGGAACAGCAATATTATAGTTGAGGGGAAACTTCCTTTTTTCTTTAATTTCACTTAACAAGACGATGAAAAAGATAATCATATAGTTTACCTTATTCAACCTAAACTAATAAAACAAACCCAACATCAGTATTATGAAAAAAAAAAAACTCTCCTACTGCTGCTTCTGCTTGTGCTTGCCCTGAATGAGTCTAAAGAATAAAAATGAGGGAGTATAGATGATTGATGTATTTGAGTGCTTATGAGGTAGTACGGTAACACCGAGTCTAAACTTATTGCTCTACTTTTTCAAAGTGATAAACGTAATAGAGAGGCAGTTGACAAAAATAAATGCAACAATTTTAACATTAATGTTGGACCCACGTTTAAATTGTAAAATAGCGACGGAGGTGAGGTACCCAACAAAAACAAGAATCTCAAGTTTTTATATATTTATTCCACCACTTTATCTCCCTCTCATTGAATGGTAGATCTAAGGGGCACGGAAGCATGCACATTCTCTCTTGTTTTTTTCTCCCCAAAATAAATGAAAAGTTCAATTAACCAACGAAAGAAATATTGTGATGAAGGAGTGAACATCAATCTCACAACACAACCCTTCGTAGATCCATTCGTGAACTTGTTAGGTTATGATGCCAAGTAGTAGCATCTCCTCCTATTAATTAAATCACGTCATGAAATCATAAAAAGATGATTTTTTTTTTCGTCATGTTTTATTTAGTGCCCCGCAATATGGACATTACGTTATGGAATCCCGTGGTCCCTACCCTAAAACCCATCTTCCAATTGTTAATTTTTCTTTTTGGACAACATTCCTCGAGGTTCCTTCCATTCTCACTCACACTGCACTCACCCATGTAATGACAGTAAACAATTGTAGAGCATAGGCACAAAGTTGTTCAGGGCACATATTAATGTTCTTTGGTGTGTTTAGTTAAATTAATTTAGTTGATGATGGTGATGGCAACATGGGAGCCCAAGGGGAGATTGAATTCATTTGAAAGTTTGAAAATTGAGAATAGGACAAGATGTCTCCAATTATGATTAAAACTGAAACAGACTGAAATGGGGGTTTGTGGTGAAAGGCAAGGTGTAGGGACATGGGGGTCCTTTCCAACACACATAAAGTCACAGCTCTTTTTGTCACAATGGGACCAAGTACTCTCACATTAATTGGCCATTGTTGCTATGACTCTACATGCATTGCTGAGGTCCCCCCATTTGGGTTTATTTTGTTTGTTGATGGAGATGATGGAGTTTTTTAGTTGCATCAATAATGCAGTGCAGTGTTAATGAATGATGATGAGTGATGCTTTGTATTTTGGCTGGAAAGTGAGAAAATAAAACGAGGCAACACAGCAAAAGGTGTGAGTGTGAAGCGCACTAGATGTGGTAATAAATTAGGGTTCACTTTTTAGGAGGCCCACAGAAGAAGGAGAAACCTAGTTCAAAAACCCCATGATCTGATTTTAAACTGCGGTCCAATCATCTGATACTTGAATCACAGACACAATCTCATAATATTTAGGCAGATGTAGATGGCAAAATCTTAAATTTCAGATTCTCTTTGGACCCTTTCTTCATTGCCCTGTCTTTATCTTCCTATTACAAGCTCAAACATGATTTTATCAGAATCCATTCCAGATTTCATTCAATTGGAAAGAGAAAACTATGAGCTTTAACAATAATCTTCTCACGCCTTTGTCCTTGGGAATGCCAAATACACAACTATCTCCTCAACAACCAAATTCCTTCTTCATGCTTCAACATTCATTCACTCAGTATTTTTTTTTAGGGTTGTGGTGTGAGGCAAGCATTTTAATATAAATAAGTTATTCACTCCTCATGTGAATGTTGTTAATTCCACTTCATCCAATTTGTTCTACTCCTAAGTTGTAATAAACAAAACAAAACTATGCTTCTTGCTTGCTTATGAAAGTGGTTCGTGTCATCGTCATCATATCATTTTAATAAAGAATATGTATATGCTAAAAAAAATTAGTAATCATTAAATTTGTGCATGATACCATCATAAAATTTGTAATAAATCCAAATATTTATATGGTGAATAATGATTTTTATTTCAGTAGTGAGTTTCCTAACCATTAAGTACATGTTTGGCGCACTCTGTTTAGTCTCTTTCAATAGAGTAAAAGATACATCTTTATATACTAAACATAGGTTAGTTGTTCGTCAACGAGAATGTAACATAAATGAAATAAACATTGTTACACAGTTGTTTATCATGAATCATATATATATATATATATATATATATATATATATATATATATATATATATATATATATTTATTTTATTTTATTATTTTATTTTATTTTTGTTAGAAGGTATATATGATAAAGCACTACAGTGCAATAGTCAGAAACTAACCAAAAAAACAGATATTAAAATGAACCCAAAGTGTCTTAATCGAGCTGTGATAGATGGCCCAAATTTTGAGTGGTATAGGCCACTCATTTGAAGTGTGTTAATCGGGCTGCACTAGAGGGCCCAAATTTTGGTATAGGCCACTCATTTGTCCGACCAAATAAAATAAAATTGACCTGTTTTCTTTTTTAACATCCTTTATTCATTTTGTAAGAATTAGAAGTTTAGACGTTTTTTTTCGTATCGATTTGTATTTATATTATTTTACAAATGAATATAAAAAAATTGATAGTTTTTAAACTGTATTTCCCTAGTCGGCCTAATCATATAACCATTAAGCTAGGTCAAATTTATCTAATTCTTTAATTCATAAATTAAATAACCCAAACTAGCCTATTAATCGAATTGGGTATTTTTTATCCTTCTTAAGCATAGATGGGAATGTGTTCGATTAAAATTGAAAATTGGAACGATCTTACGTTACAATCATGGATAGATGGATGATGTCTTTGTGTTCTGGACATTGACATTGATGGTAGTGACTGCTACTCACTAGTCATGTTCAAACAAAACAACCCTAAATAAATCATATCTGCTGAATTTTTTATTTTTTTTCTTCTTTTTCTTCGTGCCTCGTCTCATTCCGTTTCAGTTCTGGTATTCATGGAGACATGTTTCTTCCAACTATCCCTGGAAACCATAGTCGTCCAAAGATTAGAAAACATCCTTGTAAATGTAGCAAAAATGGTGTCACTTATATAAACTTTAATCAGACTTGAAGAAACAAAATCATTATCAAAGAGTTAAAAGGAAACAAAATCATTCAAAAATAAACTTTAATTAGAGAGTTAAAAAAACAAAACCATTCAACTAGACTGCCGGCTAACCCTACCTATGTCATGGTTTTTACTTCATTTGTACTCAAGAATCATGTTATTCTCGGGCGCCATTCCGACACAAGCTCTAAGGATGTTTTCCAACATTGCACGCTGCTTTGACAATGCATTTACTACTGGTGTACCAGGTGGGACCTGTGATATAGGTTCTTGTAAGTGAATTAATTTGTCAATTTTGAAAAGAAAAAAAACAATACAAAAAGTTTCAATCAAGAAATTTTGAAATTGGAGCATTTGTATCTCCATGTTAAGCTTCCTAAAATTAACTTTTATATATTAAAAAAGAAAGCATCTGGACTTAGATAAGATTAAACTCACTAGGGGAGCCTTGCTCAGATAACTCAGAATGGTAGCAACTGGATGAAATGAGTGGAATTTTGCCTATAGCAACCACCACAACCTCAGAGGTCAGAAAACTACAACTAATACATACAATGATCAACACAATAAAACAATTAAATTTAGTAATGAATGCAGACCTCTTTTTCAGTTTTGAACTGGATACGGGTGCTAAGTTCAGCAAGAACAACCAAGTCCAAGATAATAGGAGCGGCTAGGAGGGAATCCTCGCATGTGTTGTGCAAAACAATAGTGCTCTTTCCACCCATGAATATCTCTGAAGTGTATTCATCCATGGCTCTTTTGCTGTCACCAACGTAAGGCACATACTGCAAAGGCAACAAACAATACAAAATCAAACATTTGATAAGAGAGGAAACAGAATAATAGGTGAAACAAAATTTACCTTGATAACAACAACATGATCCGGATGTTCACCAGGCTCATAGAGGATGCCATTGCTGTTGACCATATCATCAACAACGTTGCTCTTGGAGATTTCCTTGGAGCGGAAGACTTGTGGAGCAGAGAGATTCATACCATCATTGTTTCCTAGATGGTTGTAACTAGCTATTGATGTTGGCTGTCAATAATAAGAAATTTTTAAAAAATCAATTTATTTCTTATTTTCTTCCCTATAAAATTAGCATAACAATAAATTTTAACCGAAACTTACTAAAGATAGATGGTCTCACGAAACAAAACATGACATTAGTATAAAAACATTGTACCTTGATACCAGCTCCGACCAGGAAATCTACCAGCACAGATTTCATTTTTGTCTGACCACTCTTGAAGTCGTCTCCACCAATCAAACTATTTTTTTGGATGGCAAGATCAATAAGTCCTGATGACAATACAAACGAAGTCAATAAAATTGCATCAATCAATATAATTAAGTTGTGGAAAACTAGGAGGTAAGCATCCAACCAGGGACAAAAGTGTTCTGAGGGCTTCCATTGATGAATGGAACATTTTCCATAACACAAGCAATGCCATACAAGGTGGAAGGAGAAATCTCAGCTTCATTCCTATCCAGGGCAGCCAAGAGGTTATCCGTTGTGTCATTAAGCCCCACAACCACATTACTATACCTCTCTGTGTTAGCAGTCCACAGGACAACCACTTTGTCCACCTTAGTAGCTTCCTTAAACGCCCTGAATTCATGTCAACTTTTAGATAGGATACAATATATAAGCCACATGCATATAGTTTTAAGTAAGACATACTTAATATCTTTGATGATTTTCTGAACTTGCTCTCTTTTTGTGCCCTTAATCACATTGTTGGCTCGCCCTTCTTGGTTGGCAGCAATGAAATCTGGATCATAAATTCCAGGGAGTGGAACCATGGATTCCATATAAGGCCTCAATTGCTTCTGCAAATCGATGTCAAACACCTTGGCCCTGGCCATGGCATCAGCCAGATTCATGTTACTGATATCCCATCCTCCAAACACGATGTCATCTGGGTTAACCTGTCAACATATTCCAAGACCACACAAGCTAAGTTTATTATCCCATATAATTCAAAACATCTAACTGCACCAAACTGGCACAATAAAAACTTCAAAAAATACTTCTCTACTTCTACCACTAAATCTGATAAATCCTGACTTTTAATAATGACTATATAGTACCATTGGAAGAAGGCTCTTAAATGGGGCATAAATTTCTTCTCCTTGAAAAGACCCAACTCTAACAGCTGAAGCTTGAGTGAGGGAACCAAAGTAATTGGCTTGTTGAATCTTGTCCTTTGTTGCCCATGAAATGCCCCTATAAAACACAAGATGATCAGTAAATATTAACATGTAAAAAGTTTCCTATACCAAAAGTCACATGTTAAGATATTCAAACGAACTCTCGGTTAGCGATAACACCACCGGTGAGGGTTGAGCCATTGTTTCCACCCCATCCCACAAGCATTACGCTGTCAATAACGTACATATGAATCAGAAATTTGGAAATAAAAATATAGATTGAATGAGAGCTCAGATCAAGAATGAAGAAATGGAGGGTATTTGGGAGCTAACCCCAATTTAGGGACGTGGATCTTGGTTTTGAATTCATATTTAACAGATTTGGGTTTCACTATCCATTGATAGGTGCCATTTCTGCTCTCATGAACAAGTTCGGTGGTTTCGTAGTTGTACACTGACTGAATCTCAGTTTCTGTGTATTTCACGTTAGCGCTCTCAACCTTGAAACTCTCGATAAACATTTTGAATTCAGATATGAACAAAGGAAAACGAAGGAGAGGGTAAGAAGAAGTATTGGTGGTAGAAATTGTGACAGGAGTTATGGTAAGAGATTTGGCAGTGCACTGAGAAGAAACATACAGAACAACTTATAAAGGATTGGAGGTGGCCATAAAAACAGGGAAGCGTACCTGTACACATAGACAGATCTGACTCTACACGTGTCATATTCTTGAGTAACACTCTATTTCATCCCTTCAATTTCAATTGAAATAGTAAGCTCTACATCTTGCCACATTTGTGTCTCTCCTATTATCATTTTCAATTTCCCTTGTTGTATTTTTAGTATATTGTATTATGATTATGTCATTTTTAAAATATAAATTAATTGTCGTTCTCGTAGTTAAGCGCCACAACATGTGGTCAAATTACCTAGGTTAAGTATGAGATTTTAGCAGAAATTTAAATTTTTATGTAAATTTAACTATAATTAATAATAATAAAATAAAAAAATTCAAATGTAAGCGGGTAATTTAACACACAATATTCTATATTTAATTTAATTTTATAATTAAATATTTTATTAAAAACATTAATAGATGAACACTATGTTTAAGGAACACAAATACAATAATTAATTGTGTTAGTCTAAAAAGAGAGTTTAATAAAAAATATTTAAAAATAAAAATGAATATTTGTTATAAAATTTTGTATAGTATTTAAAATTAAAATATTATTTAAAATTATATATATATAATTTGACTAATTTTTAAATTATTGATATGGATGGATAATAATTTTGTAACTTTTTTTATTATTAAATATATTTTAACAAAACATAACCATATATAACTCCATAACACAACCATTCTGACAGAGTGAGTTTAAGTGTTAGGATATTCAGTCTTGCATGTTAATCTAATATTAAAATTGAAAACATCAATTATTCTATTCAATATACTATAATATTTTAAAAAACTCGTTTCCTATGGATAAATATAAAATAAATATTATTATATATATATATATATATATATATATATATATATATATGAAAGATATGATAGGAAAAACAAAAATATATTTTATTTTTTATAAATATGTAATGTATAAAATAATTAATTTTTTTTCTTTTTCATATTTTTATTGTTTTTATGTCTATGCGAAAATAAATTAAGATGGATGTGAGACAAATATACCAGACTTTATATTGAAAACATTCATGAAAATAAACATTACTCATTCTATCATAGAAAAGAAAACATTCATCCAACAATTCTTTCTGTTAAGTCATGAAAAAAAACATTCATTCAACCACGTATATGAAATAATTTATAAAAATAAAAATAATTTAAACATTTTTTAAATAATAATGAATAAATTTATAAAAAGAGAACATTGTGGGACCACACCACCGCATCGTAGCAGTGACCCGTGACAACAGTCTGTTTAAACCAGATTCTGGAAAAAATTCGGGCACTTCTGGAATCTCACCAACTTTACTTTCACGTTCCAGAAATGATGGTTACTTTAATCTGACACCTGTCCCACGCAGACACGTGGTGCCCTTATAATGAATTACTCAATGTGAATCGGATTACGATGGACAAAACGACTTCAATTGCTCTACATTTGCACTTATACAGTCTTTATTTATTTATTATTATAATTATTATTAATGTGTACATTGTATAACATTAAAAAAATGTATTTTGAGTTTCTTTTTTTGTTATGTTTTTGCAAAAAGATAAGTTAGTTTTGTTAGTTTGGTACGATGAACATCAATTAGAACTAACCCTGTTATAAAACGTATCAAAATAAAATTTTAAAAATTAAGAAGACTAAACTATACAAGAACAAAGATTCTTTACATAAATTATTGTGTGCAGACTTTCAATTGAGGAAAAGTGATACTCAAATTTCTCTTTTTGTAATCTTTTCGTCTTAACGACTACAAGAGAAGATTTACACGTATGTTAAAATATGTGTGTGAAATCATCAATACTTACATAAGTTTCTTTTTTAAGTATTTATGTTGGTGGCCATTATTGTGTCAAATAATATTTTAACGAAAGCTCGTCAATTGCACATCTAATGCTTATTAATGATGCAGTTGATTGATTAGTGTAAAAGTACCGTTGATGCGTAGGATCCAGCAAAGCCAATAAAAGAGGTAAATGGTTCCTCCTATTTTCAACCATTCTTTTACAACAGGTATCTGTAATTTGTACGATAATTCTTATAATTATAATAAAAAGGCATAGCAATTTCATCTTAGTTTCATATTCCCTATATATATCAAATATATCGAAGAGATTGGACATTTTTCTTTTCTAATTATCTCTCCTCTTATTAGTTTTTTTTTATATAAAATAATACTATAAATTACTGTTTAACATCTAAATCATTTATGATTAATCTTTTATAAATAAATTTATATTATTAATTTTTTTAATATTAGTGTTTAATATTTGACATTATTTTACAAAAAAAAAATTTGGGTCTTTGTTTGAGGTGGAGTAACCATATAAGGTTCAAGTATTATTAGAATATTAGTGAGTTTTATATTCAAAATCTATTCTATTTTGTCACAAGGTTGAGGTTGAGGGATTGTATGATATTAATACCTAAACATCAATCTTTTTTAATAATTGAGATAAGATAATTAATGAAAACAAACTTGTGATATGCTTGAACTCTCAACCTTAGTTAGAGGACAATGAAATTGGTTTCGTAACTTAAACCGGAATCTTCAAACTTTAGAACAAGGAGTTATATTATGTTTAAGTTTTCAACTTCGCTCAATATTCGATAACTCTCAAGTCTATACTTCATAATTAAAGTCCCAATGACTTTAACTTGAGACTAGAAAATTATATCATGATAAACTTATTATATTTGATTAAAATTTGGTTAAAATTTCACTATGTTAATTCATCACATTTATCCTTTGTAATTAATCTATGAATTAAGAATCACTGATAATTTTCACTTATAAATATTAATATTAAATGATTCAATACCCTTAAAATAAATTATTAGAATCGCATTCCATTAAAATTTAACTTGCTCCAATCATCTTTATAAAATATTTTGGGATCCAAAAGCAAAGTTTTACTCACTCCAAATTAGTTAAAATATCTACTGGTTAAAACAATTTCATTTCTCATACATTTTTAATTATTTTCTGTCTTTTTCGTTTTTTTTATTCCTCTGGAGTAATCTTATATAATTATATTCAAGACATTATTTTTTTATATATTTTTCTTTCTTATGTACAACCTGATTTTTAATATCAAAATAAAGTTAATTATATTATTTAACTTTCAAATAATTAATAAAAAATTATAATTATGATTATAATAATAAGTTGTGGATGACATTGTTATGATATATATGTGTACATGGTAAAAGTAAACCAAAATTACATGGTAAAAAAATCTGTCAACAAAATAATACATGACCCCTATAGGATTAAAAACTAATTGTAAAAGAATATCGTACTGGTGACATTCTAATGGATAGAAGTTACCTTAATTTAAAAAATAATAATTAAATTAAAAAAGTGCATAAAAAAAAAAAAGTATTTGATAATTTTTGTTGGCTCTATCCTGCATGTTTTCATCCCTGTCCCAGTGACAGAAGAAGAATGAGGTTTAGGTTAGGGACATGTGATGTGATGTGATGTGGAATAATAGTGACAGTGGCTCATAGTGCCAATGGCTGTGATATCACCTCGTGATGCTTATATGATTTTTGTCTCTTTGGTCGGAGACTCCTAAACTTTATTTATTTATAGACCATTTGTGTCATGTAAAATTCAAATCATCCACGTTACTATTTAATAAATGCCCCCTTTGTTTGGAATTTTGCTAATTCATATGTATTATTATTATTATTATTATTATTATTATTATTATTATTATTATTATTATTATTATTATTATTATTATTATTATTATTATTATTATTATTATTATTATTATTATTATTATTATTCTTTTTCATTACTTGACTCACATCACAAACACATAAAAGACAAACTACGATTTCAGCACAGAATTATAAAGTATGAACTTTTTCTCCGACTGCATTTCGCAACATTCTCAGTAACAAATTAAATATGCATTCATTTTCAGATCAGTTTAAATTAATCTTCTAAAATCTAATCTCTAATGCTATTTACAAAGTCTCGTTACTTTCGCATTCAAATTAAACACAATTATATAATCTACACTTTTTCTGTAGAATTTAAAATATCCATAAATCAATAGCTTTAATTTATTTATTATATAATTATGTCAATTATAAATTATACAAGCATAAGTATATATATAAATAATTGAAGTAATACATAGGCCAAAAATATATGCGATGTCTTCTGGTTACTATACAATAAAAACTTGATTTCTTAAAATAAAAGAACACGTTGTAGAAATATGTAAACTATATTAATTTAGATTTCCATTCTCATATTTATTATAATAATAGTATTAATATTTATTATAATAATATTATTAATATTGTGTATGGTATATTGTTTATTTTTAAATTATGTTATAAAATGATTTTATCTTTAAAAAATATCTTATTAGATTAAAAAATTAATATATATATATATATATATTATTGTTTTTTATTTTAAACAATATGAAACTTATGAATATATATATCATAATTAGTCTTCTAATTAAGAAATAAGAGATAGAAGTGAATTAAAATTCTAATCAATTCAAATGTTCCATGTAAGAAAAACATTTCAATGATAGTTAAAATTTATTACTACATCCCACTTATTATAAAAATATTTAATAAAATAAAACCAAATTATTAAAATTAATTTTATTGAACTCTCTTACAAACAAATCCTTATCTTTTTTTTTTCTAAATTAGTAAATACAACAAATTTATATTAAAAAAAAATCATGTGCATTCATTACTCAATGTTTTACCTATTGGCTGAGAATTTTTATTTTTGGTAGAAAACTATTAACAAAATAAACCTTCATCACTAAGGATTCTATAAAATTGAACTATATTATTCATATTTATTTCTCTCACTGAAAAACTATCACACATATACTTTAGATTCGTGCATGTTTATGTTTCAACAAATATGGAATTGAAAATTAAAAGTTAAGATGGGCTTTTAAATCAATTACAGTTTAATTTAGTAAAGTTATTGCATATATTTTTTTTCTAAAACTTTCCTTATGAACTTTATGAAGTAAAAAAAAATTTGAATGTTTTGTGAATAGTTTTTTAATTACTTGATTTTATTTTAGCTGTTAAAACATTATCAAAAACAAAAAACACTCTTAATGATTAATTAATATTTTTTATTAAATTATTTTTAAAATAAAATATCCTCTGTAATAAAATTAAATTGGTAAGTATTTCAGACAAAGTGATTTTTAAAAAATATGAGAAAAACTAGATAATTAATAAATAACTAAAAAATATATAACATTATAATTGGTAATTATTGTAATAAACAGCTAAAAGGAAACGTCAGAATTTCATAGCATAATTTAATTTATATACATTTTTTACACACTTTTAATCAATGATAGCAACAATAAAATTTGAATATAAATTTCCTTATAAATTATTCAAAATGTTTCCTAATAAATTGATTGTCCTAAGGTACATTTTTTATATTCATCTTCGATACAAATTCACTATATCCTTCTATCATATTAATGAATAATTAGAAATGGCAAATTATAAAATCATATTGAAAATATGTTTGAGAAGGGGTTATGCACACTAAAAATATACATAAAGTAAACTTACTAAACACATAATATAATTAGAAGGTTCTATATGTAATGTAATTGAATTTCATCATGGTAAGTTTTAAACTTATTATAATTACTATTTCATGAAGAAGATAATTTTTAATCAGTATATATTAAATTTATTAGACATAATATCTTTATCAGATTACAGTTATGATTTGATAATGCATATTTTTTAACAAATTCAATAATTTTGTAAAACTTTTGTCGATCTATCCATTTTTTTGTTTTCAAACAAAATAATCTTAAAGTTGTTGATAATATTCTAAAATTACATTTTGGGTATAATTGTTGTTCAAAATCAAACATCAAAGAATCATACACATGTGTTTTTTAAATTTTTTCTTTATCAATATCAAGTATCATCTCCTCTAAATTATCATTTATCCATTATTCAAAATTTATGTTGTTAACATAATTAGAATGTCTAATATTTTTTCATATTATAACCATATTATATAACTCTTAAAGAGTATTGTAGACAAATAAGTGATCATGTGTATTCTCAAGTTCATAACGATTTTGATTCAAATAATGAATACATATACAGTTTTGATAAATTTTTCATTTTCACAAACAAATTACAAAAGCTCCTTAACTCCCTTTTTATATTCTTAATTAATACAACATACATTCATCTAATACTGATAAATAACTACTTATGTTATAAATTTTGTCATTTCTAGCACTATTTTGAAAATCGATTCATACCGATCGTTTCAACCAATTGAACCAAAAATCGGTCCATTGCTTCTAAATAATCATACTTTAATTAAACCAGGACAAAAGTGATAAATTCGGTGAGATTTGTTGGTTGAACAGGATTTGGTAAAAAAAAATTAGATCAATTTTTTTAATATAATTTGTTTATAAAGATATAATATATTTTAGTTTTTTTATTTCATAGTAGTTACGTCAACTTTAAATAATAATTATTTTATTATATTTTTATCTTATTTTAATAATTATTCATCTTACGTTTTCTAATATATTTTATATTTATAATTTTCATCATAACATGAGAGTAACTTTTATTATTTTTATTTTTTTTATAAAAAATATTAGTACTCGATAAACTTTATTATATATTTATTTTATTATAAAAATATTATTTATTAAATATGGTTGGACCACCTAGGTTGAACATGTATCTCCATCGATTTAGTGACCGATTTGATTTTAAAAATAATAAGAAACTCAATCAGATACATATTCATATATATATATATATATATATATATATATATATATATATATATATATATATATATATATATATATATATATATAAACAAAAAACACATGAGACTCAAACAAATAAATCGTGGAAACATAACAAAACATTGCATGAGCTTTAGGTATACTTTAAATGAACAAACAGACAATCACAAACAATAATAGTTCAATTTCAATACAATAATAGTTCAATTTCAATAATAATACATTGGAGACATTCACGTAATATCGTGATTGAAATAGAAAAAAAATAATGGATTCAATTTAAACATAAAACTAGACACATAGAAATTTAATCTAAAAGATACACGAGACATTCTAAAACTTGAATCCAATTAGAACGAAACATCAGTCACCTTAAATGAAACATAACGTGGGTATTGTTGCTACTTATTTATTATGGTTGAAAAATACTATTGGAGATGCTACAATGGTCATTGTCGTCGACGACTTAAAAACTTTCACACGTACAAGAAAGAAGTGATAATTAAAAAATAAAATACAATTTTTATGTCGAATTTTATAAGATCGGGTAAAAATACAACCAACATAAAAAATTATATTTACAATCTGATATAAAAACTCATGATATTATTTTCAAAAATACTATCACATTTTTTAAATTTAATTATTTTATAATATGATACAAAAGAGATAACATAAAAAAACCCTATTTTTGCACTAATAATTTACACTATTACACATATCATTCTAATCAGGTGAATTTTCTGTATTTATTATATAAATTAACAATTTTATCATAACAATTCATAACTAAATAACAATATAAAAAATAGTGAATAAATGCATTAAAATTATAATAACTTTGATTCTGAACATCCTCTTTAAAAAAAGTGATACAAGAATGATACAAATATGTGTTTTAATTATTCATGGTACAAATAATATTAGTGCGGAAGTTATTTGATGTATCATAAAACTTGCAAAACACACCAGACATAACTATTACCAAATCGGTTTTGCAAAGATACGCATATTTACTATTTATTATAATGGCCACAACAAAAAAATTATTTTATTAAAAAGTAAAAGAGAAAGTTGCATGATATGCACCATTGGTTTATGATGCATGCAATTGATGCTTTGTCTTTCTTTTTCCCATTTGTTTACGCAAATAAAATTTGTGGTCACTGTGGATCACGAATTAAAAAAGATCATTCTTTTATAACCAAATAAAATCAATTAAATTGAATATAAAATACTCAAAACTTAAAAATAGATTAAAATATAAAATAGAGAAATATTATTAAAAAATAAAAATATATAAAAAATATACTAAACAAAACATATCTAATGATTACTATATTAGTTTACAATATTAGAAGACATTTATATACCAGTTAGAGAGATTTATTTTTAAAAATATGGATTAATAGAGTCAAATAATTTCAACCGATCCACATGCTTTAATTAAACACCACATAATTTTGGTGTAATCAAATGGAATGAATGAATACAACCTAAATAATAACACAATAATATAATCACTTATTACTTTTCTTTTGACCATATCAAATAAGAAAAAAGATACCAAAAAAAATATAACAAATCTTTTATAAATAAACTGTAAATAAGACACAGAGTATAGGAAACAAAATTAAAAAAAACTACCATAAAAATACCAAATATTTAATAGATAATTTAACTTTTCAAAGTCCCTATTAAATACTTGCTGTTTTTTTTTTTTTCCGCTTTTCTTGAATTCTGTTACTCACATGTTGCTTCTGCAGGGTTTGGTGTGTGGTGTGCAGATGAATTCTGCTTTCTGTGGTGGGAGAATAAAAAAGGGCCAATTTGCGCGCAAAGACAAAAGCTCTACCTTCTTTCAAAAAGAAAAGTGTGGAAAAGAATGATTTGTTCTTTCTGGTCATAAATAGAAGCCACCAGTGCTTTCATTTGTATATTATTAATTTGTTGAACATCATTCAAGTAGGGAAGGTTTTTTATCATAGATATGATCTTGGTCTAAAAACTAACAACAGCATAGAAGAGTGATTAAAGTAGGTAACTGGAGCCCTGCCACATACCACAAACAAAACATATTGTGACAATCCTAACATTAGTGCCAACAGTGAAATTGAAATGTTTTGTAACACGAAAATAATAAGAAAACAAATTGTTCAGTGAAAAAGTGAAATGAGTTTTCAGAGAGTTAATCAATATAATACTTTTTAACAAAATAGAATACCAACTAACACATGTGAGCACATGAGTACTTTTTTCAGAAGAAAAAAAATATAATGCAGAAAACAACAATATGAACCAGAAGATATTGAGTCGGGTTTTTTCAAAGGTCAGTTGTCAGAAATCAGGATAAAGATAAGAACGGATCCGAGGCACCCTAATCACTGTCATCAAACTGATACAACAACATACATTCCAAAGCATTAATCAAATGGGGCAACACAGTAACCTGATTTACCTATAAATTCAAGAAAGTACACCTAGTGTTAGACAACAGTAAACAAAACATAAAATGATGTTGGAAAGTTTAATTTGTTCACAAAGAAAAAAGTGCAAGACTTTTGCAATAATCGAGATCACGAAAAGAGGGTCTAGACGACGTTTCTCCATCAGAGAGTCACGAATATTATAGATGGTCCTTAATTTATAAATGTTCTTTTCATAACAATTATGCTAATGGTTTAACACGTGACTCATCACGAAGTTTTGATATTACTGGTTCAATTATTTGACTTTTTTTGCTAACCTTGTGGCTGAGCTTGGGAATCCACAAAGTTCGACTTGTTTATGGATGCAACCTATTAATTAATAATGTTGCATGCTTTACATTTTTAAAGAAGTTAATTATATATTTTTATGTTATCAAATTTACTGCTGAGTGAGTTTTGACAGAGTTTACAAAATAGCAAAAAATAAAATAAAACAAAAATCAATATTACATGTGAATAAAGTCCAGAAATATCTATAGCAATATATATATTTTTAATTTAATTACTATTTTGTTTTTTTGTTTTTCATGTTGAAGGTGGATGAGAAGATAGATTTGGATTGAATTGCTGAGTCATCCAAATTGGGATGTGGTGATGGTTGACTTTTCCTTGTCTCTTATTTCGGCTGGAATATCTTTTTGGCCTTTTTAGATACATTAAATTAAAGTTTTAAAAGCTTAATCAATCAGTTTCCTGGTTAGAAAATGAAAAACAATGGTATGGGCTATTAGGGCCCAGAAAAGCGTTACCCGCAGCAATTGGACATTGTTGGGCCGAGATAGGTCACTGTAACGAAAATGATTTATGTTTTATGAACAGTTAATTAGAATATGGCCTAATGTTTTCTGCACCTCAATAAATTATTCCTATATTTCATGAATCCGTCGCTACTATTTTTAATAAGTTTAATTTTAGCTTTTTTCTATTAATAAAGAAAATAGAGTGAATTTGCATAGATAGGGAAACTATGAAGAAAACAAAATTAATTAGAGTGATAAATAGGGGCACATGGCTAACTTGGCAAACAACTCAGCTCACACACATGTTCGCTTGGCTATGAATCATTTCTCTCCCACGAATATTGTTCACTAATTAATATTCACCCACGCTTCTATTCTGAGTTTTATTGGGTCGATCCATGAATTTAATTATACTATCAAAATGCCAAATTAATTGTTTATAGGAAAATTCCTCAAAGTCTTCCTCTGAAATGAATTCACGCCTAATTCTTCTTAAGTTTGTTCTTAGTTTTAATTTCATTCTTTAAAATTATGGATAGAACTTAAACATTAAATTTATATCAGAGCATGGTTCAAAACCAGACGTTATAGTAAATTAATCACATTTAGGAGATCAAAATGGCACAACACAGTTGCACAAATCTCATCATAATCTCCCTTCATTCTTTTGGGGCATGCATGTGGTGACTAATGTTTTATAAAAACCAAAAGCTTCAACTTGTACTAGTACTTGGGCAAATCTTAATCATAGATAAGAACGAAAGCCACGGAGAAGGAGCATGTGGAATTAATGGCACCAATGCCAAGTATAGACTGTTAGACCGTCATTGCTTTCATAGACTTGAGACTAGGAGACATGATTCACTTCTTATGGCGGACTTGACGCGTACACTGAAAAAGATACCCAGAAAACTCAAGTCTTGGCAGTATAAGAAACTGATGCATGCTTCTCCTTCCATTACATTCTCTTTTCCCCCTGTAGTCTCTATATATTGTTGCTTACAATAATTCAAGAGTCATGGCGACGAGGGTGCTGTTGTTGATGGCCCTCACACTCTTTATCTTCCCTTTGATCATCCCCATGGCTACAGCAACATTCCATGTCAAAGGTTCCGTTTACTGCGATACCTGCCGTGCTGGATTCGAAACCAATGCCACCTTTTACATTGAAGGTACATACATACATACATAGTTAATATCAAGAATAATACTTTCATGTTCTATATTATATAAAGTAACAAGATCAAGATCGTGTTCAAGCGTCTCTCCAACCAGAAATTATTACATGGTATCAGAAATATCAATCAATCTTCAGATGATAGTACATAATCAAAAAATTTAATATCATGTCAAGTGGATATGGTTTGAGATTATAGTCAAGGGGTGATTTGTGGATTCTTTACTAGTTTCTCCTTCTAAGCGTATTTAATATCTGTTAGGAGATTATAATAATTTGTGTGTGCTGTAATTTTGACTACAATATAAAGGCTTTTGAGGTTTCTATGGCTACGATTATAGCTATACATGTAATTGTCTACAATTTTCAAAATATTAATAATCACAGAGACCTCAACTGTGATAAAACTTGTTTTAGATGGATCATTAACAATATAATTAAGATCCATTTTTGTTATCATCATAGATTCATATTTGAGGCTAACCTTGCTGTGATGAATTAAGATTAATGTTTCTATGATGCATGCATGTGACCCTTGTTAATCAGGTGCAAGGGTTGGAATTCAGTGCAAAGAGAGGAGGACCTTGAAGAAAGTTTTCTACAGGGAGGGTGTGACGGACTCGTCGGGGACATACCACATTGAGGTTGAAAATGACCATGGTGACCATATTTGCCAATGCATGCTTGTTAAAAGCCCCATCAAATGGTGTAGCACCCCAGACTCTGGTCGTGACAGATCCAGCATAGTACTAACCCACTATCAAAATGGCATAGTCAACCATCTCCACTATGCTAATGCTATGGGTTTCTTGAGAGACGAACCCTTGCCTCAATGCGACACACTGCTTAAATACTACTTGGCAGACTCAGACTTTTGATCAAAATATATAATTTACAAGAACAACTTGTTCTTTGTTTTATGAGTTAATTCTTTAAAAAAATCTATTTCTATTAACTTTTAAGTTCTGTTGACATCGAGTGTCACCAAGTTTTAGTTATAATCTCGTTATTACTTAGTTTTGCTTCATATGTATGTTTGTGATTAGTTCCCTTAATTTTCGGATTTCTAATGATTTATGGTTTAAGCAGAAGGGTAATGAGCAGAAAGAGTGGTAAATAAAAAATTGTAGGTATTACTCTACAGTTTCATCAACTTTTACATTTCTTTGTTTTTGTAAACATAAAAAACTTTTTCATCCTCTATGATATATAATGTTAATTAAGATATTTTTCGGTTTTCCTATAAATTCTGAAGTTCAAGTGATCTGTTAGTTGTTTTATGGACTTAAAGATCTCCCACAAATTTGTGAAGAGAAAGATTTCTCTAAACTGAAATCATAAAGACTTTTAATAAATTATTAACTCGTTTGTCATAGAAGAATGGGGTTAACAAACTGAAATCACACAATTTCCAAGATTCACAAGCATACGTTGAAAGATTCACAACTCACCGCCTTTGCCATTTTCTTTATCTGAATCAAATAATATTATTTATATTAGGATCTCTTAATCTTAACCAGTTTAGCTTGTTTGACAGACAAATATGGTATACTGGAGTATGAATTATAGAAATGCTGAGCTGCAGTAAAACAATTAATGATAATTAATAACTGTGAGAAGTTGTTAATACTCAAGCAAATAGTATAAATAAAATAGTCCAACCCAGTTTACAAACTTTAGAAAACATAACTCATTGACATTTTTTGGATTATTGTTAACTTGTTTTCATTGCAAGCAATTAGATGCATAGAAGGCATCCAATGCAACAAGGGTTTTTGTTTCAGTGAGAGAGGGATCTTCACTACCCTTCCTTCCTCACATGTATGATCAGATAATTGAAAACTCACAAACCTTTCTCAGGAAAAAAAGAAAAAAACATGGAACATATAGGTTTGGGAATGCATCTCTCATCTTATTAGTAAGAATAATACATTTGATAAGATCATTAATTGCAAATATCCGAGATAATAGCTACCTCACTACAAATAAATCAAAAGTATCGAAACACAAGTTCTCTATACTCTATTCTTGCGGTGGATGGCATGGCAAGTCCCAAATTGAGGTTGCATCCTCTTGACCCTGCAGAACGTGCATTGGGTTTTGAGCAAAATCCCCGTCATCTCTGACTAACATCTCTAGTGCGGCTTGCAATTCAAGATTATCAACTCCATTAAGCCAGTAACATGCGTCATTTTCCAATGTCCCACTCCCACCAGCAGCTTCTACCACCTTCGCATCATTTTGAATAGCCACATTCATCCAATCATCTATACTCGTGATTGGTGATGCTTCATTGGAGAGATAACGGTGAAATGGAACATGGCTGTCCTCTTTGTGGTAGACACAGAAAGCTTCGTGGTCCAACCTCGCGTTCTTATCCACAAACCCCATAGACAACTCACTTTGTGGACACTCGACGTTTTGACAAGCATATAGCTTATCATCCCCACTAGCACCACCAAAAGATCCCTTCCTCTTCAATACTTGAGCAGAACCAGAACCTTCTCCCTCGTCATGGTTCTCAACATTTTCCTTTGAAGGAGATATTTTAAGGCACTTATCAGTTAGTGCTAGTAAAATCTCTTCTTGGTTCATGACTTTGGACCAAGTAGCACTATCCTTAGCTGTCATCTTATCTTGCAAGGTCTTGGACTGAGTCACCAACCTTCTCAGTTTATCAAAATCAGGTGAAATGTGTTTGATAACTGCAGCCAGAACAGTAACTTTCCAAGCCTTTTTCAAGTCATGGGGCTTCCTATAAGGTGGTGGCCCATGTTCTTGGGCAAGGAGGCCCTGCTCACCCCACCAAACTTCCTCCCCAGTGGGCCACCAAGGGGGAGATAACCCTCTCTCCAAAGGGAACTTTCTTTGTGGAGGGACACAATGTTGCAGGAGAGCAGATAAGAGAGAACCTAAAGTAGAGTCTTGCAAGTCCTGGAGGAGGTGAATATAAGACGTTATATCCATCTCATCCTTTTCAAAGATTGGTAAGTACTTTGATATTGCACTAGGGGCGCTTTGGTCAAAGCGGATTTGGTCCTTCCACCACTCGCGCAAGCTGTCGGAGGAACCAGACACGGGCTTTCCCTTTTCTGGGATAATGCCATAAACAAAACCTTGGGCGTTGCAGACTTCCATGATCTTCACCATGTACTTGAGAACCGAGTCTTGTGCTCTTGACATCTTCTTCCTCCTCGATGCCTCCTGTTTTGCTTCTATGTCTGGCTCTTGTTTGTCACGCTTCTCCTTCATCTTCTGTAACAGAATCCTATCCTTCCACATGCGTTTTTTCAGCTGGTCATAGTCGATGCTCTCAGCTTCGCTCTCTTCTTCAGTGATTTCCTCTTGCACGTAGGGGTCAATTTCTTCGTTGATCAACACCATGACGATGACTAATTCTGAGTTGTTGTTGTTGTTGTTCTGCCTAGATCAAATTTTTGTTTCAGCAGATGTGTTTATGCGTGAAAGGTATACTATTTGAGGGTTATAGCATTAGCATGTAATAATGGAGGGGAATTTATATGCATAGTTGAGATTGGTGTGGAATATAGGGCGGTGTTGGGAGGGAAATTAGATTAAGATTCTAGGAAGAAAAGTTAACAATATTAATTAATGAGGGAGGAATGAGGACAAGGGGTGGCATTACCAAGACGTAGGTGAGTGATGAAGAGTGGCCAATAATCTGAAGGAAACATGGAACTGCTGCCGTGTGTCGAGAAAAGGCATGGGTTGTTTTGCTGCATGGCTGCTGAGTGATGAGTCTAATATAACTCACAAGACACATAATGTTGTTTTTCACGAGTGGTCGTGACACATAGGAGCTTGTTTTTTCACCAAGTTGATGCATGATGTAATGGCCAACGTAAATGGATATTGACTAAATAGAGTTCTTTCTACAAACTTTTCATTAGACATTTTAAGAATTATTTTCTTTTTAAATTTCTCCAAATAAACTCTATGACATTATGTATAGACAGATTATATGAAGTTTTCATTTTTGGGTCATGACCTTTTTGTTTGGTGAATGGACAAAAAATAGATCTCAGACTGAAAAGGAAACACAATCGAAGACCCATTTCTAGTCAAGAGTTCACGTTATTTTACTTTGATTTGGCATATATGATCCAGAAATCAAATTGAGTTATTTTTCAAACATATTTTTTGTTATTTACTAAAGTTTTATTAAGCGTCCTATTCTCTCTTTACTCTTTACTATTGGGATCCTATTTGCAGACTGGAAACAAGAAAGTTTCAGTCTTTTTATTGAGTTTTTTAGTTACAGCGCTTGTTCATTAATTTCTAGGTTTAATAGTAGTAATGATGTGGATATAGAAGAGATATATAATCACAACTTTTTGAAACAGAAAATTGATTTAAAAAAAACAGAGAAAGATTATTTCTTTATGTATATATTTTTTGGGTAATTCAGTTTTGCATCTTTTAGTGTGATTGTGACAACAACACAAATTATGGGTAACAAAAATTTAAAACTATGGCAATCTTTTTTGTTTATTTATCAGTGGAATGAAAAATTGATTTCATTATTATATGGAAATATTAAACAGAATTTTTATGCCATTTTGTATGTTACATTTTACTGCATTTTAATTTTAATCTTTCGATTAATACAAATAATCTATATATATATATATATATATATTTCAATACTGTAAACATTTTTTTTAATAAAACATTAAAAATGATAGTGTTATCTCACTTAATACCGACAGAAATTAAATATAATAGTGTCAATTTAAATTAAGTTTTCATTTTATATCAATTAGTTTGAAAACTTTTGAGTGATGTAGAGTTATTTTGGTGAAAGATTCTTCATAATTTCAAAATGTAAAACTTTTGAGAACTTCTTTATACGAATTTATTACTTTACCGTCTCAACTAATAGAAGAGTATAAATAATACGATTTTGAAGGTAATTGATAAGAAAGTGAAGGGACTGGAAGCAGGTGTAAAAGTATTATTCAAAGTCTTTTTTTCTTGTTTTGATTGAATGATGCTAAAACAGGTGTCTGGTATTTGACCTTTCTGGTATCTATTCTCCTTTATTTACTTACACTCTGAATCTGGTCTATAGAGAAGTGTTGGTGAGACAACCATCTGTGATGCTCTTTATACCCTTATTCTGCGAGACAACCATCCCTAAACTTGCTTCTTCATATATTTTAATACCATTTCTCACTTTTCAATGAATCTTTCACCTCTTCTCTGGATGTTCTTGCTTCTTTCAACTAACTTCTTCCACCAACTAAAAAATCCACTTCTACATGCTACAATTTTATTTTTTTAAGATTGAAATCAAACATTCGTACGAAGAAAGAACGACACAAAAAAGTATATTTTGGGAGATACGATTGGACCAAAAGAAGAGTGTAAAAGTGTAAACCTCTTTAGCCCATTTCACTCCGTTACATGTTTTTTTGTCCATAATTTTTGGGTAAAGGAAATCCTATTTAGCCCATTTTCCTCTTACTCAGCGTTATTTTAGGGTGTTTCTTTCTTTACCTTCTAAATTTCTTCGTGCACCTCATAATACCTCATAATTACACACATTATTTATCCTTTATCAAAACATGTTTCAAAAATATATTCTAGAGTGTTCCATAATCTATTTTTGGAACAATTAATCTAAAAATATATTATTTTTGAATTATTTTTAAATTAACTATTTTGAAAATGTATTTTTAGAATAATTAATTTAAGAATATATTCGAAAATATTTAATTTAAAATACATTTTTGAAATAGCTAACAGAGATGAAAGCACCACAAAATGAAACTAGAGAAACTATAAAGGTCTAAAGCAGCAGAAGAGAAGAAATTTTTTGGGTTTCAAATAAAAATTAGTAAAAAGGTATTTGGATAATATTTTATGGTTATACAAAAATCTAATTAACACTTTCGGGTTGGATTGGATGTATGGCCTCATTAAAAAAAATCTTAGGCCCATATAAGAATCTGAATTATTGAACACTTTTTTAACTATTTATTTAAACTTTATTTGTTTATATATCTACGCAATTATATTTTCATCAACCATTTCCTTTAATAATTAATTAATATTGCAATATTTTTTTTACATTTTTAAGCAAATGTTTAATATTTAAATAAACAACATAAAAGTTTAAACTTTATTAAAACCATTATAATCATTATTTTTTAAATAAATATATTGTTTTTGTCAAATATAACTTTAACTGTGACATATGACCTGATGTTTTTTACCAAAAAAATGTATTTTATATTATTCTATTCCTTGGAATTTGCTTTGCCAATTACAAATGCAAAAGGGTGTCGAAGATTCATGCCGACAAATCTTAAGTTCTACTCTTTTGATTTGTTTGTTTTAAAAGATAATATAAAAAATTAAAATATAATAAACACTTTTCAAATTTTTACTTGGGTCATCACTGATCTCTCTAATTGGACTTTTTGTCACTTTGTGTGTCCTCTATTGAAATTGAAAGCCACTGCACTCTCCTTCTTTGTCGTTCCTTGCCTAGCAATAGGCTTAACCTTTTTCTTGGCATGTTTTTTCTATCTTAATTAACATGAACTGGAATGAATTAGCCAAGATGTAATGTAAACAATGACACACAACACGAGACATTATGCCATTATCATTATTCAATTAACGTTGCACTCATGTGTAGTAGTGTCATATTTGTTGCAAAGTAGATTCCTTTCACATAATGCACTTTTCTCCACTCAGCCTCTTCAAAATCTATGTAGCCAACCCATAACCACACCGATACGCTTCTCCTTTTTCTGTCATAATAATTTGGACTTAGCATTTGATCGCTTAAACCACCAACTCACATTCACTCCTTCTTTCTTCTTCACTTCTAAATAAAGTTAAACAATTAGTCCTGTATATTTTTTGTTATGGGCAATATAAGTACGAGTTAAATTCCATGTTTTATGAATAATTTAAGTATGAGTTAAATTTTACGTGGATTAAGTACGAAAAAATTGATTAACGACACATACTTTAATATTTTAATTTTTGGTTGAAAATCGAGGACTCATATTATTATTAATGTTTTTCCACTTAAATCTTACTCAAAGAACCAACATTTTATTTTACAGTAATACGTACATCATCAACATTTGCCTTTGTTTTCGCTACCTGGGTCCAAGGTTTTTGTCTTGCCCACTTTTCTCCCAACCATGTAACTTGGTGACTAGAATCCAACCTGGATTTTGAAGGAGAGCTCTTCCAGCTATAGTGACATTTTACCATTGCGTGATCCACACATAAGGGAAGTTGTTGTTGGTCAGAACTCACAAGTAAAACAGCGTATGGTGAAGGGATTCCAGAAGTGTTTGGATTGGATAATGCTAGATGTAGCACATTGATAAATGAAACGGTGGAAGCGGTGTACATAACTGGGGGAGGAGCACAGTCTTTCATATGAAAATGGGTTGTGTGAACTCCAAAACTGAAAAGAATGAAGCTTTGCGTCTTTGCAAGGAACGAAAGAGGTTGATCAAGGTGGTTATTGATTCCAGATATGCTCTTGCTGCTGCACACTTATCTTACCTTCAATCTCTTTGTAACATTGGTGTTGCTCTTCGACGGTACGCTGAGGCAGAGATGCTGATAGAGTCGTCCCTGTCGGTTTCAGACCACACACCATCTCAATCTACTTGCCCTTCTCCATCTCCTTCAGATTCACCATTGAATAATGACAGTCACCATCATGTGAGTTGCATGAAAACAAGTGACAGTGAAGCTGTGACTGTTATGATCGATCCCCATATTATGATCAATCCTCACAGTGAAAATATTTTGGACGATGAAGCCATTGAGAGTGATGCCTCTTGGGATTTCTTTGATCCTGCTGATAGTGCCAAGGGCTTTGAGTTTGCAGGGCATGCTAGTTACTACAAGGATGAAGAAGAAACTGATTCGTTCTTAGATGCGTCAAGAGGAAATTATCATAGCAATCTGTCAGTGGAATGTTGTAAACAAAAGGGTCATGGAGAAATGAGGCAGTTAGAGTCACCAAGTAATGTGGGTGTTATTGGACGGTCAAGCTTAAAGAACAATAAGGATATAGCTATGAACACTGAGAGGGAAGATCCTTCTGAGTTCATCACCCACAGGGCTAAAGATTTTCTTTCTAGCGTGAAGTTTATAGAGCATCGGTTTGTTCGAGCTTCTGAATCTGGTAGGGAGGTTTCGAGGCTATTGGAGGCAAACAAAATCAAGGTTGGATATTCTGAGCCAAAAGGTGCTTGTTACTTGCATTGCATTGCATTGCATTAATCTTTTATTTAATGCCTAAAATATAGCTTGCTAGACTCTAAATATTAATCATTTTATGATAGGGAAGTCATCTGTCACGATTTTTCTCGCGGCTTTTATGTTTGCTTGCTTCAGTGAAAAGGCTACACCTGTTTCCCAAGGTATGTTCTAGTTCAATTCTGTTCTAGCTCGATACTTGTCATAAACAATGATTTGTTCTAATTAACTTATTCTGAAAGGTTAATTAGTTATGAGCATTACATATTTGATTTTTGTCATTTTTCTATGCAAAGCCAATTAAGTATGTAGATTGGCGATTTTATATTTTACCCTCAAAATGGTTTTCAGACCCTTAATTGAATTTATCAAATTCATATCTTCCTAAATAAAATCTAACTATGGTAAGCAAAACGCAAGCCAAAGTATTTACTTCTACAGCTGAATTCAGTCGGGTAATGGGCTGAGATTTTGTTATTCTGCACTCGGTTGGTTAATTTCGCCAATCTCTATATAAATTTCAATCTGAGTATGAACGAACATTTATGAGAAAAATGAATTTGTAGGTTGGACTAATATGTGTCTCTCTTTGTGTAGAACCTGCTCAAAAGATTATGAATTGGAAGACAGAATCTTCTCAATCAGCCTCAATCAGAAATCCTTTGGTTACAACGTCAAAGACATACATGGATGATAGTGAAAGTGACATTGTTGGAGAACCCTACATGATTGCTGGAAGCCATTCTTGCACCCTCGACAGATTGTATGCGTGGGAGAGAAAACTTTATGATGAAGTAAAGGTAATACACAATCAGCAAAATATGCTTGACATCACATAATATCCTAGTATGCTATTTACATTACAAACTGTTGGTATGCATTTTTCTCAGTGCATTTCTCTGTTTCCTTTTTATATCTCTTTATAAATCCATATATTTTTTTCAACAGTAGATTTGAAAAGGTATTCCAGAAGCATTACTGTATATTTGCATGCATACTTCAATGGTTCTAAAGTGTTCTGGATGATCTTATTTTGTTCTGTTCCTAAAATAAGTAGCTTGGTCTACATGGTTGAATAACATTAGCATTTTTTGTCACTGATCATCTGGTTAAATGCATTGCACATCCAATTCTTTGGTTTCATATCCCTTATCATCCTGTTGAATAAAGTGGCAATGGCGTTGTTTGTAGGCTGGTGAATTCATAAGGAAGGAGTTTGATCGAAAGTGTGACCAGTTAAGGCATCAATTTGCAAAAGATGAAAGCAGTAAAGTGATTGACAAAACCCGATCAGTAGTGAAGGATCTGCATTCTCGGATAATAGTGGCTATTTATTCTGCTGATTTAATATCTAAACGAATTGAGATGATGAGAGATGAAGAATTGTTCCCACAACTTTTGGAATTTACTCAAGGGTAAGTGACAATTTTTTTATTTCTACACTTGTGCTGATGAACCTGAAGATTTACTAGCCATGATAATTGATTGTAATTTCTACTAGTATTGGCTTATGGAAATGATAGCAGTGCAGGTTGATGAAGATGTGGAAGGCTATGCTGGAATGTCATCATGCACAATACATTACTGTGTCTTTGGCTTATCATTCAAGGAGCTCAATGAGAACCTTGGAAGGAGATACACGAAGAGAGATAATGGCTCAACTACTAAAAGATCTTGAGTGCTTTGGTTTAAGCTTTTCTAACTGGATCAATAGCCACACTTCATACATTGAAGCTCTCAATGGATGGCTACAAAACTGTATACTAGAACCAAGGGAACGTTCCAAGAACAGAAAGCCATTCTCCCCTCGTCGTGCTTTGGCCCCACCTATATTTGTTCTTTGCCGAGATTGGTGTGCTGGGATCAAGGCTCTGCCTTCTGAGGAACTAAGTCACGCAATAAAGTTCTTTGTATCTGATCTTCATCGGATGATAGATCAGCAAGATGAAGAGCTTCATGACAAATATAATTCAGTAGTTGCCAGCAATAGTGGAGAAACCGAGAGCAAAACTATTGAAAAGAGTGAAGATGGTTCTTCACATTTGTGCTACATACATGCAAGTTTAACCAAGCTTCTTCACCAACTTACTAAATTTTCTGACGCATCATTGAAGATGTACGAGGATATCAGACAAAAAGGTGAAGCAGCTCAAACTGCTTATCACAGTTGTAAGTCCATCAGGACTGACAAAATTTGATCCTAAAATATAAACTTCTCCCTGATCTTGCTTGAATTAATAGAAAATACATCAATGACAACATAAGGAAATTATTTGTTTGTCCGTCCAATATGACTGACATCTTAATGGTGTTCTTGTTTCTGTATTTTAGTTCTCTTTTGGCATTTTTTCTTCTTTCACATGAAATTAGTATTAGTTTAATAATAATAGATAACTCTGGAGAAAATGATCAAAGAACCTTATTGTTAAAAGTTTAACTTTACTCTATTTGGAATGGGAATTTACTGACCTGCATGGACTTGATGCTATGATGATTGATAAACATAGAATATACAATTACAAATACCGTATCATGCCATGATTCTACATGATTAATTTTTTCCATATTTAGCTTGGCATGACAGCGATGCACAGTGATGCACATTAATGTCATGTCTGTTAATAGACAAATTTAGGATACCGACTATAATGGTTAGCGTAATTATAGCCTAGAATGTTTCTGTATTTCATGTATATATTGTGCTATCATATTCAATACAAGACAGGGGTTTTTGGAAATATTTTTATCATGGTATCAGAGCAAACCAAACTCTGATATCCAACAGCCCGAGAACACAGTCGTACTTCTAAAATGGCAGAGAGAGGAGAGACGGTGAAGAAAACACCATCGCCATACGATCTGAGTGCTAGTGATAATCCTGGAAATGTGATTACACAGGTACAATTACGAGGAGAGAATTACGAGGAATGGGCAAGGGCCGTGAAGATATCTCTGCGGGCTCGAAGGAAATGGGGTTTCATAGATGGAACTCATAAGGAACCTGAAGAAGACACATCCGAGATAGAAGATTGGTGGACAATTCAATCGATGCTTGTATCTTGGATACTAAACACTATAGAACCTAGTTTGCGTTCCACCGTTGCATACATGGAAAACGCAAAGGACCTATGGGATGACATCAAGGAACGATTCTCGATCGTGAACGGACCAAGAATCCAGCGAGCTAAAGTCGAGTTGGCGGAATGCAAACAACAAGGAATGACTATGGTTTCCTATTATGGGAAGTTGAAAACGTTGTGGGATGAACTGGCAAATTACGAGCAAATCCCACGAGTGTAGATGTGGGGGATGCAAGTGTAATATTATGACGCAACTTGAGAAACGAAGAGAAGAAGAAAAAATTCATCGAGTTCTTGATGGGGCTAGATGATGAGGGCTATGGAACTGCACGGTCAAATGTTTTGGCAACAGATCCATTACCCTCGTTGAATCGGGTGTATGGCACCATGGTGCAAGAAGAAAGGGTGAGAACAATCACCAGGTCTAAAGAAGAGCGAGGAATGATCGTGGGAATGGCTATGCGAGCGGAAACCAGGAACAAGTTGCGCAATGAAGCGAAAGAAAAATCGAGTTGTTTGCATGCAGTGTGGAAGGAAGGGACATGACAAAGGCAATTGCTTCAAGATCATTGGTTACCCAGAATGGTGGGGAGAGAGACCACGAACCGATAAAAACGATGAAAAAAATCAACAAAGAACAGGAACCTTCCGAGGAAAAGGAGGAACGGCTCGCGTCAATATGGCGCACACTGGTGCAGATAACGTTGGTTCAACCGAAAAACCAGAAGTCGCAGGACTGAGTAATGAGCAATGGCAGATCTTGACAGCAATGTTGAATTCTCGCAAGGCAAATGAAACTGAAAAGATGACTGGTAAGAAAGCATGTGACTTGTGGATTATTGATAGTGGCGCCTCTAATCATATGACAGGAACACTAGAAAACTTGAGGGAGAGTCGAGCCTTGGAAGGGTGCCCAGTGGGACTACCAAATGGTGAATTGGTGCTGGCAAACAAAGAAGGATCGGTTTTCCTTGATAGAGGACTGAAACTTAAACATGTTCTATATGTTCCGAAATTGAATTGCAATTTGATTTCAGTATCACAATTGACGAATGAAGCAAAATGTACAGTACATTTTACTGATAGATTTTGTGCAATGCAGGACCACACTTCGAGGATGCTGATTGGTGCGGGTGAACGAAAAGAGGGACTCTATTGGTATTGTGGTGTGAGTGGCATAAAGGCGCATCAGACCAATGCAGAAAATCAACTAGAGATTTGGCACAAGCGAATGGGACATCTTGCCTACCAGATTGTTAGAAAAATTCCGCATCTGAACAGCGTGAATAGAAATACGGATACAACTCGTGTGTGTGAAGTGTGTGAGAGATCAAAGCGATGCAGAAACACATTTCCTTTAAGTGATTTTCAAGCATCCAATATATTTGATTTAATACATTTTGATGTATGGGGTCCATATAGAACTCCCTCGTCTTGTGGTGCATCTTACTTTCTCACTTTAGTTGATGACTGTTCTCGAGCTGTGTGGATATATCTCTTGAATAATAAGAAAGATGTGTCACAAACCTTAATGCATTTCATCGCCTTGATAGAACGACAATACGAGAAAAAAGTCAAAATATTACGAAGTGACAATGGAACTGAGTTTATGTGTCTTCAACGATATTTTCAGCAACATGGGATACTCCATCAAACCTCATGCACTGGAACACCTCAGCAAAATGGGAGAGCCGAACGAAAACATCGACACATCCTAAATGTAGCTCGTGCTCTACGATTTCAGGGAGAACTTCCACTTCAATTCTGGGGAGAATGCATTTTGACCGCAGGATACTTGATCAATCGTACACCCTCAACCGTTCTCCATGGAAAAACTCCATATGAAATATTGAATGGGAAGCCACCCACTTATGACCATCTACGGGTATTTGGATGCTTGTGTTATGCACATAACCAAGATAGGAAAGGTGGCAAATTTGCAAGTAGAAGTCGCAAGAATGTATTTGTTGGATATTCAATCGAAAAAAAGGGCTGGAAATTGTTTGATCTGGAAAGAGAAGTCTTCTGGACTTCGAGAGATGTTAAGTTTGTAGAACATGAATTCCCGTTTGCCTCTCTTGCCCACAGTAGACATTCAGAGGTAGGATTGCCAACTGTTGATGTTGGCATTGTCGAGGAAGCATTGCCTGGACTTGGTGCAATGAACAATGCAGTAACACGTTGTGGAGACTGATGACGTTAACCCCACAACGAAGATGTGCCCACAACCGAGTTCAGGGAGGGCCACGCCGAATGCCATGAACAAGAACCTCCCACCCGAGATCGTTCTCCCACCGGAACAAACCGACTCTATGATGACAGAACTAGAGGTTCCCGAGGAGCATACTGTCCTCGCATCCCCGGGGAAAGGTCTTCGTGTACGAAAGCCATCTCGTGAAGCTTCGTGATTATGTCACTAACACCACTTTACAACTCGGTCCCTCAATTCGCACTCCACATTCAGCTTCCTCGGGTATGCCTTACAGTTTGACAAAGTACTTAAATTATGCTAAATTCTCCTTCCCCCATCGAACCTTTCTTGCAACCCTTCATGCGAGAGAGAACACGTGCATTTCTTTGAAGCTCGTTCGGGATGTTAGATGGAGAGATGTCATGGCTAGTGAAATTCAGGCCCTCCAAAGTAATGAAACATGGGACATTACTCCTCTACCGAGCAGGGAAGAAGCCTCCGGGTTGCAAGTGGATTTATAAAATCAAATATCATTCCGATGGGAGCGTTGAACGCTTCAAAGCCCGATTAGTTGTCTTGGGAAATCACCAAGTTGAGGGGATTGACTATGACGAGACTTTTGCCCCAGATGGCAAAGATGGTCACCATTCGGACAGGTGTTGGCAGTGGCGTAGCCAAAGACTGGGAACTTCATCAAATGGATGTCCATAATGCTTTTCTCGCACGGCGATCTTGAGGAAGATGTGTACATGAAAATGCCGCCAGGGTTCTTGGTGTCTCAAAAGGGTATGGTGTGTCGTCTCCGCAAGTCCCTTTATGGCCTTCGTCAAGCTCCTCGGTGTTGGTTTGCCAAGCTCTCAACTGCTCTTGTTCAATATGGGTTTCAACGTTCTTCGTCTGATCACTCCTTGTTCATCTTTCGCAAAGGAGATGTCGAACCTGGTTGTGTTAGTTTACGTGGATGACCTAGTCATTGCTGGCAATCATCATGAAGACATTGCGCAATTCAAAGATTATCTTCATCAATGCTTTCGTATGAAGGACTTAGGGAAATTAAAATACTTTCTTGGGGTGGAGGTTGCCGGATCTCCTACAGGAATTTTCTTGTGTCAACGGAAGTATGCGTTGGACATCATAGCTGAAGCGGGATTGCTTGGAGGGAAACTCGTGTCCACGCCAATCGAAGAAAATCATCGTTTAGCATTGGCCGATGGCGAACTACTTCTCGACTCGAGTCAATATCGACGTCTCGTCGGTCGCCTTATTTACTTGTGTTTTACACGACCTGAATTATCTTACAGTGTTCATGTCCTATCTCAATTCATGCACCAACCGCGTCAGGAGCATTGGCGGGCTGCACTCCGCGTGGTACGCTATTTAAAGGGCAGCCCAGGTCAGGGTGTGCTTTTAAAAAGAGAGAGTGACCTTCGTCTTTATGGTTGGTGTGACTCGGACTGGGCAAGTTGTCCTCTAACTCGAAGATCTCTCACCGGTTGGTTTATTTTCCTTGGTCAATCCCCCGTTTCCTGGAAAACCAAGAAGCAACATACGGTTTCTCGATCATCCGCCGAGGCAGAATATCGTTCTATGGCCAACACGACATGTGAGTTGAAATGGCTTCAAGGCCTTCTTTCGAGCCTAGGCATTACTCACACCGACCCTATGACTCTCTATCGTGACAACCAAGCTGCCCTTCACATTGCCAAGAATCCCGTGTTTCATGAACGGACAAAACATATTGAAGTGGATTGTCATCTTATTCGTGATGAAATACAACACAATCATATCCAACCCTCCTATGTGTCCACTCATCATCAACTGGCTGATCTCTTCACCAAATCTCTTGGCGCCACTAAATTTGGTTCTTTTTTAGGCAAGTTGGGCATTCACAACCTTCATACTCCATCTTGAGGGAGGGTGATAAACA